GTTAGATAAAATACAAATTTATCTTTGATCACACAAGATAAAGCATCATCAAAAAGAGCAAAAACGTGTTCCAGAAGAACTGCTACTTATGCGTTCGTTAGCGTAAACTTTTAAAACATTTTCTAACCTATTATGGCAAAAAAGTTGAGGAGGAGCAAGTCATAAAAAAACAATCTAAATTGAGATGATGTCTTGTAGACAGGGAATTTTTAACAACAATCGAGCAAAGTGCCTAACCTTAGTTTTTGCTCTTGATTTGGGTACTTTCAGCCTTGCTGAATATTTTAAGCCTTGGATACATTTTTGTAACACAATAGAAATCACGTGATCGATGACGTCATTTTCCCCGGTCATTAAAATTTTTAATTCTTTTTTTTGAAAAATCGCTCCAACCATCTTGTTTGGCATTGTAATAGGAGCAAAAAGTTCTAAAGAATAAACTCTATCAGACCTGCAGATAACGAGTTATTGCTATTTAAAGTTTGCATGACGTCATCAAAATGGCGGTTTTGTAGTTTTCAAGCACGTGGAATTCAAAGGCTCATGGTCATAATTTAGGTTGCTTTACCTCGATTTTGAAGTTTTTTTACCTTTGCGTTATTCGGCAACTCAATAATGTCATTTGAGCTGATATATTTGCACGCCTGGGAAACTAAGTATTGAACAAAATGCATGCAAAAGGAAAATGTTCTAATAAAAATTTTTCTTCAAAAAAGCTATACTGAAGAGGAGCTTTCGTCAGCAATGAAAGACCGTCGATTCGTCAGCATTGTCGTTCGGCAATGAACTCCAACTTTTACAGCAGCTAGAGAGTGCAATATTAAATAGCACTTACATGCCAAGCATGACTTGATACCTCTTGCACTCAATCATTACAATTACAGGCAATGTTGCAGTTATCAGAATGTCTGTCGAAGTCATTTGAAGGAAACGATGCTTTGCACAACCCTTGCAATCCTCTTTACAGGCTACTTTAATTTTGCATAGTGATGACGAATGTAACTCCATCTTACATTTCATGGCATTTATGCAAGCCTTGCAGCATCAACTTTTTACTCGATGATGCACGGAACAGTCCGAACGTGTTGCAATAGAAAGCGGCACCGGTTTCTATATTCAAGCTCACTTCTTTATTAGAGTGAAAAAGCTTTTTGTACTTTTAATGAGCTAGACGATCGAAACTTTTTTTCTTTGTTGACTCGTTATCTTTCGAAGCTGTCTTGATATGTAATTTCTTTCCAAGAGCTACTCTGACCATTCAATGCGTATGAATCAAGTTAACGCATGTATAAACTTCCATGTATGAAGCTGTATCGAAAAGGTCCTGATGTAATATTTGTCTGTCTATTGAACAATTCGTTTTGAAATTTTGGAATATGGCTTGCGAGCAATACTTGCACTCATTCCCGTAACTTTCCGATCTGAGAAAGCTAGATGCATCGTTTCCTTCAAATGACTTCGACAGACATTCTGATAACTGCAACATTGCCTGTAATTGTGATGATTGAGTGCAAGAGGTATCAAGTCATGCTTGGCATGTAAGTGCTATTTAATATTGCACTCTCTAGCTGCTGTAAAAGTTGGAGTTCATTGCCGAGCGACAATGCTGACGAATCGACGGTCTTTCATTGCTGACGAAAGCTCCTCTTCAGTATAGCTTTTTTGAAGAACAATTTTTATTAGAACATTTTCCTTTTGCATGCATTTTGTTCAATACTTAGTTTCCCAGGCGTGCAAATATATCAGCTCAAATGACATTATTGAGTTGCCGAATAACACAAAGGTAAAAAAACTTCAAAATCGAGGTGAAGCAACCTAAATTATGACCATGGGCCTTTGAATTCCACGTGCTTGAAAACTACAAAACCGCCATTTTGATGACGTCATGCAAACTTTAAATAGCAATAACTCGTTATCTGCAGGTCTGATAGAGTTTATTCTTTAGAACTTTTTGCTCCTATTACAATGCCAAACAAGATAGTTGGAGCGATTTTTCAAAAAAAAGAATTAAAAATTTTAATGACCGGGGGAAATGACGTCATCGATCACGTGATTTCTATTGTGTTACAAAAATGTATCCAAGGCTTAAAATATTCAGCAAGGCTGAAAGTACCCAAATCAAGAGCAAAAACTAAGGTTAGGCACTTTGCTCGATTGTTGCTAAAAATTCCCTGTCTATTGAAGTTAAAGCTGTATACAGAGTCCATCTTACTTCAAAATAGCACACAACAATATCGTAAAGCGCAATTGATTTTTCTCCGCATGTACTGAAGCTTCAAGCTCTGAAGTTTCTTAATTCTTCTTTATTATCCATTGCTTATTTCTTATAGTAATTTTCTTATACAAAATGAGTGCAATACATAAGGCTGGGATTGGGCATTCATTGCGAATTGGAAAAATATTCTAATTTCTTTCTTAGGCGTTTCGATTGGTATTTTATGCTGCACTTTTAAGAACATTCATTATTTACAAATCCACACTTTCTACAATTACAGGTCCACAATTTTAATCTACAACTCCACAAAGTGAGTCAGATCCACGCTTATTTTAGGCCCTGCTGTTAAGGTAAATATGATGGCAAACAAGCTTTTCACTAGAGAGAAAGTTACGAAAAACCGCCTCGCTCAACAGCAGAGTCTGCAGCTTGTCACTTCTGTGAGTGACAGTAGGCTAGAAGGGCCTTGCTTCGGGAAAGGACAACATTGTTCATAGAGGAAGAGGGGAATGCCTGAATTTGCCCTTAGAAACTCACGTTAGTGTACCAAGACTTTTGGCTAGCATTGTACTTACATGGAAAATGTACTAGCGCAGGTCGTTAATCTTCCTGGACTTCACCAAGGATCATTCCTGAGCTCACTTCTTTTTTGTAATCTATGTGATAAACGAAGGGGTTTTGTTTCAATATATGTCACGGAAGTTGCTCTTTGCAGACTAATTGGTGTTAATGCAGATACGATCGATAAGTTGATCTGACTTAGTTGACAAGAAGACATGAGATTGATGCGAGTGAGACAGTAGTCAAGGTGGGTAGTAACTGTAGAACTGATCTGTAAGTTTATGATTGCAACAAGATTATGCTTTAGCATGTGACAACGTGTATGTAGTTATGTTTTGTGTGATGCTTAGTGATATAGAAGAGACGAAGTTACAGCAAAAGCAAGAATAAGAGCAGCGTGGGGAGGGGGGTTGAGAAGGGGCAAAAGGTCCAGGGCCCTTAAATCTTACACGATGAATACAATACAATGATTGCACAATCTCATTCAACAATGAATTTTTAATTCAACTCGACGCAAAGTTAGGGGGAAGGAAACAATGGAACTAAGCTGAAAACAGTAGGGCCTGCACGCATGCAACAGGACAATTCTTGTTCTATATAACCTCGCTTTTGTATCTGTCTCGTTTTTCTCAAAATGTTAATTAGTAAGATGATTATTTCTTTGTCTGCAACTATATATGACGTTTCTCACATGTAAATAGGGAGTTTTATGATCGCTAATGAAATGAACATAACATCAAGAGTTTATAGGTTTGATATACGAGGACGTGCCATTATTTAGGGGTACCTTTTCCTGAAAAATGGAACTATTGGTATAATCACTGGTAACATTTTGGGAAATATTGCAAAGGAATTCAAAGTATGAAAGATGGGAAATATTGAGATTTGGAGGCGAAGGATATACAAAATCTTTTTGATTATTTTGTTGTGCCTTGAGAAATGTTTATTGCCTTGTGGAATTATGGGTACAGTTTCCCTCATATTTGCAAAATTATTGGTCACATCTTTTTAGACATGTGCGGAGTTATGGGTCCAAATTTTGAACAAAAGTACACGTCCCCATCCAAAACAAATGATTTTGTGCTTGAAGTTAACTGTGCCATGTAAGCTCTGTCAAATACATAGGATTGACGTTATCTAAGGATCTAAGCTGAAATCAACATATCAGACACACTGCCAGCAAAGGCACAAGATCCCTTAATTTTCTCAAAAGGAATTTTCGCATAAACTCGCCTCAACTGAAATCAAAAGCCTACAAAGCAATTGTAAGACCAGTTGTTGAATATGCTACAACGGTATGGGATCCATACACAAAAAGGAACATCCACATGCTTGAAATGGTTCAAAGAAGAGCAGCTCGTTACGTCCTAAATAGACATGATCGATTCGCGAGTGTTACAGATATGCTTTCAGAACTGAAATAGGAAACCCTGGAGGAAAGGAGAACAAAACAGAGACTTGCAATGTTTTATAAAATCCATCGTGGAATGATAGCAGTTGATAAAGATAAATACATGAAACTATCCTCCAGGAAGTCAAGACATAACCATGACCATGCATATCAAGTCCCAGGAAATGGACCAGGTTATTATAACTTTTCGTACTTTCCCCGCACAATTCAAGCGTGGAATATGTTACCACAATCAGTGATTGACTAAAAACAATCAATTCTTTTAAAAACGCAATTTAGTATAAGTAAATAAAACAGAAAAACTTGATGTAAAAAAGGCAAAACAAGTTTAATAAAAAAAATTTTTCAAAGAAAGAGAAAATCGTAAAAAACCAGTAACAGATAAATAAGTACGGTTGCAGTGCAGTTTGATTTCATAGGGTAAAAATTCATAGGGTAAAACATCAACATTGGATAAATACTATCTTAGTCACGGAAAAGCTGCTCTGTTGGTTGAAGTTGTTGAATACGTAGAAGGAGTAGAAAAAGTAAAAGAAGTATACGTTGAAGAGAGACAAGTCCAACGTTGAAGCTGAGTTAGTTTCCATTCAATCAAACAGACTTTGCTCTAACTCATTGCAAAATATGCTACGTTTAAGAAAAATGATTAACTCTTTTAATGTAAAGTGTTTCTAAAACACGTTGTCACATGCCCAAACTTTGTGCCAGATATTTTAATGTAGAAACCCCACCCACTAAGATGAAATAATAGTACCAATGAATCGGTGTGCTGATGTAAACAATAAGCCTCGTTATCGATAAATACCCCCAAACGATACATTCATCATGTGACTGCTTGAACCATGATTGTTTCACCCAGGAGAAGATTTTGAACCAAAGAGTGGAGCTACAATTTGTTTATTATGCTGCAATAGGCTGCTTTAGGACCCTTCAAGCTATAAAAATGGGTTGCTGCATGTGCAAAGAAAATAAAGTATGTGAGATTATTTTCTTGTCTCTTAAGGCTTCTAGTAGAGCTTCGATATGTATAAAACATTATGGGGGTATGATGGCCTAAATTTCATTCCTTCCATTCGCATAGTTTTTCAGTCCAACGTCTGGAAAGTCTTATTCCTAAAATGTACGATAAAGCCTTTCAGATTCACTGAACTTAATATGTTTATTGTGTATTAATTTTACCATGTAAAAATCTTGAGGTGAAAATCTCAATTAAACCTATCAAAATAACGCTAAATTTGATATATCCTGAAATGAATATTTCATTTAAATAAAAGAAATAAAATGAAACCAGTCTTAAAGCTACAGGCAAACCTTTATTGAGCTTGTAATCGATCAGCAATTTAATGCAACCCAAAGTTTCTCTTACTGGAAAGTGTTACTGGAAAGTCATCATGCCAACCGTCCTTAAAGGCCTAAAAGTAGCAAAGCCCAAAATTGAGAGAAAAAAATGAGATTAAATTAGATCTGGCCAAGTATTTAACCAGAAATTAATTTTCTTTTTGATATTTCAACCTAAAAAGTTACTATTTACAGTCAGCAAGCCAGTGTGGATTCCATGACAGCTGCAATCCTGACCATTTTTTTCAAATTACAAGAGAACTCTTACACACCCCAAAGATAGGAGTGGTTTTGGGTGTGGCTTAAATGTAAACGCTTTTTCAAATATGACAATATGACTTTCTAAATTTGTTCGCAGCTGAGATTGGAAAAAAGTCTGTCATTTTTAAAGGCTTTTGCTCAACTGGCATGTTTAGCGGAAGCTGTTTGAGAATTTAATTTGTTTTCATGCAGTACAATATTAGGCCAGTTTTGAAGATATAGTTACAAAGCATGCTGATGGTGCAAGAGCCTTTAATTAAATAATCTTCTTGAGACCAGGGCTGCTGAGAAGTTTTAGGGGCTCTGTGGGGCAGAACCAAAAAAACAGGGCCCCTTGCGAGCAAATCGAGCAATCATTTTCTTACAATCGTTAAACAGGTTTTAATATTTTTTAGGCCCACTTCTTTTACGTTAGCTTAATTCCATCCTTAGAAAAGAATTTATCTATGAGGCTCCCTAGACCTTGAGGTCCTTGGGTAATTCACTACCTGTCCCTCTCTAGGTGTCCCTGCTTGAGATATTGCTTTAGGTTAATCATGTCTTTGGGCTTTTTAAATATTATGTCTAAAATTATTCATTTACTTGCGGAACCTTTAGGAATTTGAATAACAGCTACTGATGGTAGTGGTAAATGTTCAGTTCAACTCTCAATCATTGAGTTTTCCTGAGTTGTAAAATTGATGTAAGCCGGATAAGTGCCTGAAAAGTATACACACACTCAAGAATAACTGGGAAATTAGGTGCACATCCAAATGTGCAGACATATCACAAATGCACTCTTGCACTCTCAGGTAATATCTTTGTACGCCTGACTTTGTACGTCAAGTGCTCTACCTCTGAGCTATTGGGTCGTGCTTTCAAGCCAACACCCAAGGCCGAGTCATACAATGCACCAGGCCTCTCTTTTACCAGTAAATTAGTAACCCTATAAAACAGACTTTTGACTCATAATCAATGTGAAGGATTTTCTAGGGCCCATCTCTGTGTGTTAGCTGAGAATAGGTAATCTGTCTCTGTTTCTGAAAAGTGGGTGGTCAATGTCCCCTGTGCCCCTAGTTCCTATGTCTATGGGTGAAAAAAAAATTCAATATCTTTCACCTAGGAAGGTTTTATGGTATTAATTTGTTTGTCTGCATCAGATTTAACTTTTCTATAATGTTCACAGTATAATGAAGCTGTAAATGAAAGATCAAGTTTGGTAAGAAATGAAGTTGGAGGAGTGTCATCAAGTAGACCAATTCAGTAAGTAATTGCTGTATATAATTCTCATGTACTTTTAATCTTGACCACATGGCATAGTTTTCTGACAAGTTTTATTAGTCTATTTGTACATCATTTCATCCACACCGTTATGTATCCACAAATGATAGCTAACTTTGATATACCTTAGCAGACAGTTCAGGAGCAATATAAATGAATACAAAAGTCCAAGCTTGCTTCAAACGTTACAGTCTTATTAGGAGTTTTTTTCAAAATTGACATCATTGATGTTCTAGAGGTTTGTTTATGCAATACAAAAATCAGGGGGATCATTGATAACTCTAATGCTGAGCTAGATGAGTTGGAAAAAACGCTTGGAAAGATGAAGAAATCTTAGATAGTCATGTTCCAAGATCAAGGTTGTAGGGAATTGTGGAATTGTCTTCCAAAATATTGGTGGGGGGTTACTGCCCCCCTTGCCCCCAGGTGTCTGCCACTGTATGCATGTTATTTGAATTTTTTGCAGCTATTTTAGATGACCTTGTGAACACAGTGTTGATTTAATATAAATAGGCTTTTGTGGGAAAAAATATCGCAGGTGTGCTAACAACTACATGCCTGAAAACATCCAGGTTTGTGATGGCATGTGACATTTTTCGCAAAAATTTATGGTGTTTATGAAAGATCTACAGAGAATTTGCTAACATGACAATGATAACAGCAACAATTTTCATGAAATTCTTTTTGCTTAATTTTTAGCATCACTTAAACATGTTATTTCTGAAGGCTTGACAGCAAGTCGACATAAGTATAAACTGAGCTTATTTTATATATCAGCAAAAAACAGTTCTGCAAGTGCAGAAAAATATTTGCCATGTCACAAGCAGTTTTCGTCAGCTTCAATAATGAATCCTTAGCAGAGACATTGAGGGCTTGGCGTTCATCTGGTTGTAATGGCCATGCCTGAAAGAGCCCTCTGTTATCAAGCATGACAGGAATTTTATGTACTTAACTGGTCTTTTGCACAAATCTCTTCTGCATTTAAAGCATCATAAAAAGTGCATGCTTTCCAATATATGTTTTGCTGACGACAGTAATTATTAGCCTCAAGAAACAGTGATGAATATACACCAGGAATAGGTCAATCAAATTAATGGTGAAATCTTTTAGAAAAGTTTGTCATCAAAGAAAATTTTTATGTAGGGACCTACACCTAGGTTTGTAATAGAATCCAAGAGACCAGACATTTTTGGTCATACCGTAAAATTAGTTATATCCAGGTTTCATTATATTGGGGTTCCACTGTAGATAAGTCCTATGATTATTTATTTAAAATTTTTTATTCAATCCACATTCCTGACAAGGTAAGCCTTTTTAAAGTGACATGAAGTAAAAGTACCAAGGAAGGATAAACATTTAAACCCATCTTTAAAACCCACAAAACCAATCGTTAAGAATTTTGCTCTGAAAATAAATGTAGGGCTGTGATATTTTGCACTCCTGGAAGGCAGTAGGCATGTGCCAGACTGTGTGTATGTGATCATACACCTTTCCAACAAAAGCCTGATAAAGTTAACTAATTCTAGCTGCTAACCTGAAGTCAGCTGTTTTTAACTGAAAGTTTGTTTTTTGCAGTGAGGATGGAACAGTATCAGTTTCTTCTATATCAAGGACAGATGAAGAATCCCTGCTCAGTAGAATTGTGCATAAGACTGCAGAGTATGTTGGTTTCGTTTTTTCTAAAGGAATTTCTTAGTATTGCTGATTTCCCAATATTTTCTAAACAATCTCATTGTTCTAATACCAATAGTTAATGTTTCATTTTACATTTGTGTGGTGTACATTGATACATGAGCAATTAGAGAATTTGTAATTAAAAACAACTGTTATATAATTGTTTGTAATAATGCTTGATGAAAGTTTTGATTATATACAGTTTGGCATTTTCTAAGGCACTCATTTGCACAATCACTTCTATCAAAAATGAGCCATATAAAGTATGGGTATTTTTTTCCATAGTGAAATCATAGACGTATCAGCAATAGAACCTCACAGTATGGAAAGAGCAGAGTATATGGAAAAGATGAGACAATATCAGTGAGTTGAAAGATTAAAATTTATGAAGTATATGATTTTGATTTATAAAATTCATGACATTGTTGTAGAAATGTAGTTATAAACCTTTACCAATTTTCGACAATGTCTTTTTATCATTCTGATAACAGGAAAGAAATCTAAATCTATATTGTTGGATCAGAAATCATAAATAATTGCTCAACAAAATCAATATAAACATACATTGTTCAATTAATGAGATCTTAAGTCGTTTTAATGCAAAACTTTGGAATTAAAGGTAATGTGTCCATATAAAAGGACTGCGTATACCCAACTTGTCAAGCCACCCATCAAAATAACAGTTTGCGATTGGTTAGTGTTCTTGCGATGCAAAACTGCTCACATGAAAAGATAACCTCGCAGCAGGATAAATAAACAGAACAACCGTAATGACTGGGGCGATGACATGAAAAATCATATGTTTCTAAAAAACCCTGCAGAGTCGCTTGCTATAGCTGGACATATTATCTTTAATGTAAAAATAGTGGCAAAAATTGTTCTATTTACAGTCATTGAAAACACAAAACGTGTGGCAATTAACAAGTTTAAAAAAGTGTTCTTTTGTCAAAAGATAAATGTGGTGGTTGAAATTGTAAATATAAAGCAAAAATATTTCTTCAAATCTGAAAAATTGCTGCTAGTGTTTGTGATGCACAGGGCATTATCCGTGTATCATAATCTTTTAAAAAATTATATGATAAGTTGGCTTTTATCATAGCTATAAAGGCTACCAATAAGCTAGTTATTTGGCTTTATTGAATGATTTTGTTCCTTCTTTTGTCAGAGAACGAGCTGGTAGTGGAAATGTTAAAGTACCAAAGCATAAATCAAACCTACCCAATACTAATGCACCAGTGAACATACTAATTGGAGAGCCTATAAATGCCTCAGATATAAAACTGGTGAGTCAATTTTAAAGGAATATACATTCAAAATTTTTATAGTGGTAATTTTCTCTTTTAAAGCTGACCAGGCCTTTTTGTTTCACGTGGGCAATCGCCCTCGCCATCCCCATTGCCATCGCCCTCGCCAAATTCTTGATACGGGCTACTGACCGCACTCGCAAAAATATTTATCACCCGCAAGAGAAAGGTACGGACAAGTTAGCAATAAATGTGACCATTGTTGTTGTCACTATTTTTCAATTCACATCTTCACTTGGCGTCTTCAAGAATTTCATGTGAGGCCTTTAAGCAGAACGTTTTTTAGAACGCGAATGCTATCAAAGTTGGGGTAGATATCCACTGTTCCGGTCACTATCCACATATTCTGCACCTTAAAATTGTTGATAGGACCTTCATTCAAAGATGTTTTTACAAGACAACAGGTGAAGAATTCCACAAATCCTTAAAACTTTGTAAAAATTCCGTATCCTATGCATCATTTTCGAAAAAATATCTGTCCGGCAAATGTGTAGAATTCCATCCAGAAGTTGCCAGATTTTTGTAATCCGCAACAAAGTCCATCCAACTTCAAAGCTCCTCAAGCTTTGATGACCCTCACATCAAATGTTGGTTACTCATAAACGGGAACAATGAATGGTGATAATAAGCAACAATAATAAGAGCTGAACAGTAATGAAAAGAAATGATATAATAAAAAGTGCTGTTGATATTCATTTGAAGGAAAAAAGGTAAGACTATTAAAGAGGAGCCTCTGAGTGAGAGACTTTGTCTTGAAGCTGCAAAAGAATCTGAAAACATAGATAATGCAATCAGGGAGGATGAGGGAGAGAATTTTAAACCAAGTCGTAATCTGATTGTGATTCATACAATGAAGAAGAAAAAATTTGAACTTATAGATGATGGTTTTGATTGATTTCAAGTTTTATCTTATGCTTTTACTCGGCTGGTCAAACTTAACATATTTTCTTTTCGTTCTTCCCTAAAAAGCTGTATTCCTGACTGAAAGGTCAAGTTGTTAATGGAAACAAAGCATCATTTCCTCATTGTTGGCATTATAAAATATAAATCATTACATCAAATATTTTGGCTACAAACTGGCGGTAATGGGGTATTTAGAAAATCAAACGTTAGGCAGTTGTGGTTAGATAATACCCTAATTCCCCCTCAAGTCCTGAAGCACTTAGTTTAAAAGGTAGTGGTGGACAGGAGATTGCCCTCCTAAGCCGATTCATGTGAGCAGTTTGTTGCCCTTGCGAAAATTTCTTCACGAAAAGGCCTGAAGCTGACACACATTATTATTATGTCCCACACATTATTTTTCTGTCCAACACAGTAAGTTATCAAAATAATGGACATTAGAAGCAAAGTTATCTCTGGGTAGATGATTAATACAGGAAATCTTCCTTAGAAACAAACTTTTTCAATTTGTTTGCAGTGGCCTTCTTTCCATTTGCAGCAACTTCTTATGACTTTGTTGAGAACCCCATCCCTGCAATTATTTTCTTTATATATTCCCTGTTCACTGACTTGGTTCTGATTGCTCCTGAACCATTTGCTGGTATTTTCAAAGTTAGTTATCATTTGTGGTTACATGTCAGTGCGAATAAATGCTCTCGATAATGGCACTGAAAGAATTGCAGATGGTTTACTTTTTCACTATATACATTTTTCCTATTATTATATGCTGTTTCCACGGCTCTGTCAACCTCTTTGCAGAAAGGATAGAAAAGAACAGACTCTTTATGTTAGAAAAGTAACAACTTTATTCAACTTCCATAGCAATTTCCTATCAATTGTTAAGACTTTCCTATCAAGAATATGCCTCTTTTTCTTTACTGTCCATTTCCAAATAGATTGAAGTTTGTGAATACCGTTACAATAAGCCTTCATGATAAACACCTGCCAGGAAAACAACTCATAGTAAAAATGTGAAGACAGGTTCGTAGTGGAGCGCAGCTCTCCTCAAACAGCCAGGGCTGTTGAAGTATTTGCTCTTTATTCAGCAATATTTGTTTGCAATTTTAACAAAATAACACAAGTTGCCAGAGACAAGTAGCAGGATCATTCTTTGAGCATGTATCTTTCCAAGGAGAACATAAGCATGATTAGTGGAATTTTCGTTGGTGAATATTTTTCTATTTTCTATTTTTCTACTAGTGATGTGGGAATCTAGTGTTTGAAGAAAAGGTTTTCAGCTATCTATGCTGAAACAGGTTTTTTGTCACAACCTCTTCGAGATCTGATACACAGTCTGTTTGGTTTCATATGTGCAATCTTGTGTGCATGCATGCATCCAAACATAAATGAAGAGGTTAATGTGTGTAATAAACAAAATGAATTAAACTATTTGTTGCTATTTTAAATTCATGTTGTTGCCTTTGAAGGCAATTATGTTTAAAATATGAAGTTATGCTCAAGAATCTTTTCCAGCCATCTATGCTCAAAAAGTGTTTGTTTGCAATGAATTCTTCAATATTTGATGGATATTGGAATTAGAGACAAAACATTCCAAAAAAGCTCTTTGTTGCAGAAAATCTGCGTAGGAAATCTCTGTACACATTTGTTAATCTTTCCACCTCAATTAAGAATACAATTGGTTTAATTTTTTTCTGTTTCTGTTATTAATATGATTTTTTCTGGCATCCTTAAAATGTTCAAAAGATTAGAATAATGATATCGTGAAAGTAAGACTCCTGAAAGTTTTGAATTTGGTAACAAACAGATGTGAGAATTTTTCATGAATACCTTTAAACTAATATCCTCTTTGGCCTTTTGTGCTAATTATTTGTTAAGAAATGTGATTTTATCAGTATGTAAGCAAAATTTTAAGGATTTTCTTCAAGATAAAATTTACCAAAACAAAAGAATTGACCTGTCAGCAGCAGCTAGAAATAATGTCTTAGTACAATGATGAAAAAGCCACATAATCTATTTCATTTAATTCAAATTTCTAACATAATCAGATGATGAAAGACTTCTTCTTTTGAAGTATACAGAAAAATTGAAAAACCTAAACACTTTAAAGATGTGAGTCAAAAAGAGCAAGAACTCTTGCAGTACTAAGGGCTGAACATTCCTATTTGGATCAAGACTGGTTTACATTACAAAAAATTGCAACAAAATTTCACACGAAAGTTAACTTTGTAAAGCTATCGATAAATATTGTAAGAAAATTAATAAAGGAAAAACAAAGTTTCCCTTATACCGATTGATTCCAGTCAATTTTCATGTCTCCTTGGCCCATTGAAACTGACTCCATGTAACATGGCTTTTCTGTTCTTTGTTAGTTTACATAAGGTTTGTATGGCAGAGGGTTTGCAACAGCAGTTGCTCTTGGTTTATCTTGAAAGAGTTATTGAAAAGTAATTGATTTAGGAGTCATCATTGCCAGCCTGAGTTTGTTTTTGTTTAACTTGGCAATCAACAGTTGAACTGTCCAGTTAGTTTTGTTCTTTATAACCGTGTAGAAATTTGAATGTGTATTACCAAAGGATAGTTTAACAACAATGTGTATTACCAAAGGTTATTTTTTAAAGGTTTTGTATACTGAGATACAGATTAAACAATGCTATGTATTCCCAATTATTTTTCTAGATAACAAATTCAACTTCTATGGCTGCAGACGCTGTGAGCAAAATGGAAGTAAAATTCAAAGAACCTTTAGTTGTTCCATTTGGCATTGATAATTCAATACCATCTGCCTAGCTAACCAGTTCCTTTGGTAAACATTAAGTATAGTAAATTGCATTTCTGTTGAAGTATGATTCAGGTGAATAATGATTGAAACAGGAAGGGTGGCATCCCTAAGCAGGTGCTATGCAACATGGCTGCAATTCTTGCCTCTCTTAATTTTGATTCTTAATGGGAAAAGTTTGAATGGGAAATGGGGAGTATTTCTGTATTTTTATCAGCCAGTTTAAGTCATAGAAATTTGCGATGTCCTGTCTCCTCTTCACCAAAGTAAGGTTCTCTTCGTAAAAGTAGACAGACTTGTGAAGATGAATGTTAACCTTCAGTATAGTGAAGATGTTTTATCATGTTCGGAAGCTGTTTCTTTTGGAGAGTAATCACTATTGTGAGAGAATGTAGAGAAGCATAAAAAAATTGGAGCTGCACCCTAGAATTTATTTAAGACTTTAAGTGCTTGTAGAGACTGTATAATTTTTTCAATTCTCCGTCTACTGATCTATTTGAAGTCTGTTGGCTTTAGGCAGGACAAATCAAAACTTTTAAACCCCTTTGTCCTTTTTGCAAGGTAAAGTTATTTGTTCTGTCTTTTGTTTGTAGTACGCCAATTTACAAAAGCCAGAGTGAATCAATTTATCATTCTTTGCTGTTCTTTGCTTCAAATTTTCAGTTCCCTGTCTCACTCAACATGTAAAGTTTCCAGTAAAATGCTGCATTTGTAACATTTGCTTGTTAAATTTTTCACAGCATTAATTTTTGTTAGGAAAATTGCATTTGGTCTTTAATTATTCTCTTTTGCTGTTAATAGCATGAAATAATGATATTCTTATTAAAATTGTAATGTTTCTAAGAAATAGTATCTCCAGGCTCCTCATTTTTCTTACCATTGATCTGCAAAAATTATTGAGAATGTACCAATTACTTTTTTTGTGATTTTTTTCGTAGAAGAAAAATTGTGAAAATTATAATTGTTGATCTAATTTTCTGAACTGTGTCAAAATTATGTGGTTATGCACAAGATATGGTTTTGATCTTTGTTTGCTAGGGTTTCGCTAATAATGACAAAAAGTTTAAAAAAACCAATATATATGGTCTCAATATGTCAGTGAAACAATGGAAAGGGCATTTTCTACTTGAAATTTTTATTTTTCAAAGTGAATTTCCAATGAATATGTTTGCAGTGCCTCTTTGAGGTATTCATTTGCTTTTCATTTTTATACTAATGAGTTATGATTACCAAAAATAATGTACTTCGTGTTCCAAAACGTGGATCTTGCTATTTTTGACTTGAAGAAAAAGAAAATGAAAGAATGAATGGACATTGGCACTAAAACTCTGAAAGAATTTGCCTAATTAAATTAGAGATTAGCTTTTCTCATTTGAAAAAAATGACACATCTGAAATGTTTCCAGGAAAATATGACAAATTTTATTTGCCTATTAACTTTCTTAACATTCTTGCTCATTCTGGTAGCATTAAAACAAATGAACATGATTTATGGGAGAAAACGTTTAGAAGATATACCACATTTCTAACCAATTGCCTTGCCCTTTTATCAAAGATAAACCAGTTTAAAAAAGTTTATCTTTTTCGAAAACGAGTTCTTCTAGAAATATAATATTTTATTTTCTATTCTGATAATTTAGAAGCATCTTAGCCTGTTTAAGGAAGAAAAAGTTTCCAAAATTGTTTATTATTCTCAAAGCCTATATCCTTACTTCTCACTAAAATCGACTTATCTCAAGATAATTTGACTTCCATACCAGAAATAAATTGAATTCGTTTATAATAATATAAAAGCATCAAATGAATCTGTTTTATGAAACAATATTTTTAAATTGTTATCATTTTTTTAAGCCTTTAGACTTACTTTTTATCCAAAAAGACCAATCTGTAAAAACGTTAATTTTTTTAAAAATCCGTCTTTTATACCAGAAAAAGTTCAGTTTTTTTTATAATGATAATAAAACATTAAATTAATCTGTTTAATGAATCATTTAATGAAAATGAAAACTTTGATCATTTTTCTAAGCCTATAGCCTTACTTTTTATCCTAAATCGACATATCTGAAAATAGTTAATTTGTTTGAAAAATAGGACTTTTATTCCAGAACTAAGTTGAATTATCGTTTACAATTATATAAAAGCATTAAATAAATCTGTTTTTAGAAAAAAATTCAAAAAATTTTGGTCATTTTTCTAAGCCTATAGCCTTTAGCCTTACTGTTTCTCCTAAATCGACCTATCTGTAAAGATTAATTTTTTTTAAAAATACGACTTTTATTCCAGAACTAAGTTGAATTATCGTTTATAATGATATAAAAGCATTAAATAAATCTGTTTTTAGAAAAAAAATTCAAAAAATTTTGGTCATTTCTCTAAGCCTATAGCCTTACTGTTTCTCCTAAATCGACCTATCTGTAAAGATTAATTTTTTTTAAGAATACGACTTTTTTTCCAGAACTAAGTTGAATTATCGTTTCTAATGATATAAAAGCATTAAATAAATCTGTTTTTAGAAAAAAAAATTAAAAAGTTTTTGGCAAGCCTATAGCCTTACTTATTATCCTAAATCGACCTATCTGAAAAACGTTATTCTCTAGAAAAACTGCAATTTTTATATCAGAAATAAGTTGAATTATTGGATAAAATGATGATAAAGCATAAAATGAATCCTTTTTTAGAAAAAATTCAAACTTTGTTTATCATTTTCGTAAGCCTGTGGCCTTACTTTTTATTCAAAATCGACCTTTCTTAAAGAAACTTTTTTTGAGAAAGACGAGTACACTTTCTCGGAAGAATGTTCCCCCTTACGATCGTTTCTGCCGGCCATTTCCAGGAGCCATAACTTCCACTGCAACAAGCCCCCGCTATTGAATAAGCCCCTCAATCAAATGGGCCTGACATAATATTATATAAATGATAACACTTAAAAAGAGCAACTTTAGCATATCCGAAAAAAACAACAAAATGATACTGAACAATTTTCATTTGAAACATTTTGAGAGAGCAATGAACTCTAGTTTCGATTTAAGACAATCTATGATTACAAAGAACAAGTTAATTTTCATTGAGTATCTCAATACATCGCATCAATAACTATATAATATTTAAGCTGTTAGAGTGGAATTTCAATAAGGAATTTTCCTTTTTTGCACAATTTAGTTAAGGCGTACTTTACAAGAAAAAGCTCAAACAATATCCTAAATAAATTCATTACAGAAAGGTGTTACTAACAAAAATAAACGTAGTATAGACTGTAATTTTAGGCATCCTGAATATTGCACTGCAAAAAGCCATTGACAAACATTTTGTTATCTCAGCGCCTTCTTCTACATATTTGATATACGAAAGAAGTTCTAGCGATTGTTTTTGGAAAACTCTTTCTTAAGGGGCCTCGTTCTTTTTTCAAAGCGAAATTCCTTGTTTAAAGACACCTTTCTTCCACCGCCGACGTCACCTTAAGAGCGCGAGTTCTAATCGACGCAGATTTGTCGCTCAGCAAAGCACGGGTACGGACATTGTGATCAAAACCATTTTCTACAGATTCCACGTTGTTGGTGCCCCAGAAAGTATTTTCAACAGGCAACATTACAAAGGGATTTATTAAAACAATCTTAAATTATGTTCTAGCATCATGTAAATTATACTCTATTCTTTCCGAAATAATCACACGTTGTTTACATATTTTGGTTCAAGGTGTACTTTTTAATAAATCCTGTCTTTGGTTTGATTTCTTTCAGAATGAATAAGTTAGACTTGATAAAAGCCCTGAGGAGTCGAATAATAATGAAACTAAACATAGATGGTTCTGGGATATAAAGGAATAATTTTTTTGAGAAAGAATCAAGTAGAGGAGAATACATACTTTGATTTGAAAAGTTTTGGACCATTCCTAATAAAGTTTAAATTTTTTTATTGTGTATCCTCTAAAAATAGTCAATTTTGGCACTTGTTTTTTGGATAAGAATTCAGGTTTTTCAACGGTTGGCCAACTAAGGTTTTGGTTAACTTATAAGAGCAGAGGTTAAATTTCCGGGCTGAAAAAGTGCCTTCCTGAAACACCCCAAAAAAATTAATTTCGTGCAACAGAGCCAAAAATTATGCAGAATGGTGAGACAAGGCCAGAGACTATGGTCGCGTGAGCAAAGAAATTTTTGAAAAGTTATTGGGTGAACGGCATTTCTAGTACCATACAATATCGCCTATCGACAAGCTGGATATTCTCTAGATTTTGGCGTTTAAGCTGAAAAGTTTCTATCAACTGATTGACATAATAGCGGAGCCCAACGAGGCCAGAATCAAGAGGATCTGTAAAAAGCAAAAATATCAGGATAAGGTTAGGTATAGGCTGACAAAACCTAAAAGGTGTGCGGAATTCACGCAAAGCACGAGTTTCCATGGAGTCAACGAGCCTTTCTTGCTGCCACAAAGAACATTTTAAACCTAGTTTTTCTTGCTACCACAAACAACTTGCTAAAAACATCACGATAATACAGGTTATCAAAAACATTTGCTGTAATTCGAATATCTAATCAATTAATTTTAAGCAGTTACTCTAGTCCTAGAATATAGTTGATGGCTTGCACAATTATGATGATCACAGGCTGCCAAACGACAAGATACCGTAGCCAATCAAGGAGTTGACCAAACAAGACGTGTGGCCTTTCCCATCTGTAAGGCGAGTCAAGAAAATGACGGAGACATGAAAACAAGAGGCAAAGCTACTCTGGGTTTATGACAACCAAGGTTAAATTTGTGATATTTTCTCTTCATCTAAAATTTATTTAAATATGCTTTTTAGTTAGGGATGTTAGTCAAACAATTGTGCAAATTGTAATACCAGCATGAAGGTGCAAATAATGTTCTGTTGTCGTTCGGGGCTTTTGAAATACTAGCCACAACAAATTTAGTCAAAATACTAACACACCTAGCAAAAACCACAATCTTTGGAAATAAAAAATAGTGATACAAAACAGAAAACTATTCACAATTAAGATTTCTACTACCTGGCATACATTGTAGGTCAAGGCATTTTCTACAAAAAGAAAATTCCAGAAACATTCTTCCTGTAAGCATCTCAATTTACCAATAGAGTTTAATAAGAAAAGTATCCATGTCAAAACAATAATAAAGAGGCCAAGCCCCTGGGTTTTATCCATACTGCTATGTATGACAACTCCATAAAAATGCATCTTGAAAGGATACGGATTTTTAAACATTCTTTTTAAATCGACTTTTTCCTTGCAATATGGGCATGTCTGTTTCTTGCCAACAATGCACCAACCTCTGATACAAAACTCGTGAAATCTGTTATAAGTTAAGAAATAGTAAACAGGAATATTTTAACACCAAAAGAAGAATAAAATAAAATAGAACGCTATGGCTGATTATTCCAACTGCTAAAAAGTTGCCAAAGCGTAGGATTTATATCATTTTAATATTTAAAATAATTCGTATTGGAAAAAGAGTAGAATTATTACACTGGAAAAAGCTGGAAAAAGTGTATCGGCATAGGATGGTAAAATGGCCGTGTGAAGTTGTGTACAGAAGATTTAACGGAAAAATTGGGAATTTCATGTCTAACATGCAAAAGAGAGAATTTAGTAAGATATATATACAAAGGTTTTCAGCAAAATAGACTTTCGCTTAAGAACAAGATGATGAATCTGCAATTGATCTATGGGGCTATTTAGATAGTGTCATCACAAAGTAAAACCCTTTTCAACGGATGTATGTCAAGGTGCTTTTCAATTTTTATAAGAACATATAAGTTGAAAATGGCTTTGAAAAAACAAAAAGTTTAGAGCATCCTCAAAGCATTTTCGTCTGACACTTCTCAGAGCATAAAACGTCAGAATAAGGTTCCGAAAGAAAATGATGGAAAATATATACCCAGTTGTTGTTGTGGATCAAAATAGGCCAATCATTGGCCTACTTCGATGTTTGGTCTACTTCGATCAAAAACTGGGTCGTATTTTCCATCTTTTTATTCGGAACCTTATTCTGACTTTTTATACTCTGAGAAGTGTTAGATAAAAAGCTTTCAGTATACTGAAAAATATTTGCTTTTTCAAAGCCATTTTTAAATTTTGTACGGCCAAAAGACTATTAAAATATATAAGTTATGATGTTAATGAAAAGGATACAAATGGCCACAAGAAAGCTTATAAGTCTTTTCCGGAGGATCATCCTCAATATCATCCATACTAGCGATAACAAGTTCTTGTCCACAGACGGCACAAATATTGGCAGCCAATCTCTTAGATGGTAAACTGCTTTCAGTATAGTACTGCAAAACAAACAGATATGTTATCTCCTTCCCTTGTACAAAAATATAGATGTCCTTTCTAGGTAAAAGTAAGAAGGAAGCACGCAGTGATGAAACTTCAAGACAACAGAGAAACTAGGAATGGCTACATAGAATAAAACATCGACTATTATAATCAAAAGTGATGATAAAATACACCACTTACCCCCATTTTTGCTGCCATTTTGTCAGTACAGAATTCAGCGAAATCCCTACCAAGCACACCATAATATAGGCCATAGAAAATTACCGTAACACCAGCACCCATCGCAGTGTCGGGTGAAATGTAAAAAAGAAGATTTAGTCCAAGAAACGTTGACATTATAATGAAATATCCGATTATCCCAAGGCCATACGTGATGCGATGAATATTGTAGAACCATTTATAGACAAGCCTAAAATCAATAAAAGTAGGGAATGTTATGGCGTCTATTTTTTTAGGTTAAGGGCAGTACTGAGTTACAGACTCCCTTGCAAATGTGGGTTCTTCTACCTGAAAATAGCTGCATAGAAAATAAAGCAAGGGCTTCGCTTTATAAAATTGTAGCTATGTCATTCTGGATTCTATACAATCTGCATCGAAACATTATCCATCTCTAGTGATTTTAAAAATTTCTTGTATGGACTGTAAACATTTTGGTAATGATGGCAAACATTTTTCTCTTTTTTACTGGAATTCCTATACATATCCATATTTTACTTCATTGAACATTTTGACAATTTAACATGTGCTTCTTAGCAAAATTTAGCTTTAGCTTGTAAAGTATATATTTCTGATGCTATGAATGTTATGTTAAACATATAGAGGAACCTAATTACCTTGGAGTGCTGGGCTGTAATGGATAAGTTGTTGCTTTTCGGAATATATAGAGAGTGATGCAGGAAAAAATTGTCCAAACTGTTAGCATACGAAACCATCCAAGTTTAATATTGAAATAAAGTGGTATGAGCCACAATCCTACCAATGTTACCAGCTAAAAGAAAATCACTATTAAGTTACAACAATAAATGACTGGATACACCAAAGAAAATGAAAAGTGTAAAGAAAATATACTACTTCAAATAAGCCAAAGCAAAAATTAGTGTCAGAAATCATTGAGGCTATATCTGCCCTTCAATTCATACTACCCCTTTCTCTTATTTGAAAGAAGCAGATAAGAAACCAAGCCATAAAATGACAATAAACAAGAAACAATAGTACTGGTCACCCTTAAAACTTAAGAAAATGCCTTGTTTAAAATCCATCCCTCATTTTTTAATCCATTGTTTAAAGATAGGACGAAGTTTAATTATTTGGTAATTAGGCACTTATTTCCAGTTCAATTGACATAGGTAATAGAAATAAGAGCTCCTTACAACTGATTGGAAATCTGGTTGCAAGACTCTATCTGTTAGGTTTAACACTCAACTAGTTAAAAAATCTTTCACAAAAACTAAAATTAAAAAAGTGACAAACTGAGTACTAACTTAACTGAGAAACCAAGCTTAGTTTCTTATAAAAATGTATATAGCCTGTTGTTAACAAATCTTGGCAACAATGAGATGCAATTTCTTTACCCTACATTCCTGTGATGCCAATGAATGCTGTTTGAGCAACATTTGAACTATAGTGGTACATGAAAACAACATAACTAAAGCTTTTGGAACAAAGCAGTTTCTAAAAAACAAACCATATTGAACACATTCATACAAAACCTCTTACATGATAGGTCCTATAGTAGTGCTGCTTCCATTTGTACAACAAAAGCTGGGCTGCAACAAGGGTTGCCAATAGAATTAAAATCATCTCCATGTGCATAGCTTCATGGCCTTTGTGCTTGGCATGAAGTTTCTCGTGTTCGATTCTAAAATTTGTGTAGATAATGAGTTGTAAAAAGTATCCTCCTTAGTATTTAAAGCTTTTGTTTAATATCATGTTATCTATGATGACTGGATACTGCCAAAGAATTCTCACTGATTCTTGTAAAAATTGTAGGGGGAAGGGGTCTTTAGTCATGCCACCCTACTCCCATAGTCAATGATGGATGTGTGTGGTGATATCAATGCCTGAAATGTTATTACATCAAAATCTTTCAGTTACATATCTTGGCTAGATTTAACCTCTTTTAATCAGTTTATATCTTGATGGTCAAAGATTATCAGTTCTTTTTTAAACTAAATTTGAAAGCACATTGTCTTGAAACATAGCAAATTAACTTATGAGGTGAAGGAAACATATTTGGCTAGGCCTGTTTGTCAGTATTTTAGCAAAGATGTAGTGATGAAAATTGCTTTTTACCAGCCTGTCATTTGATGCAGCCCTGTCATTATTTGATTAAGAATTGGATCTGCTTGATTGCAAAAAGACAGAGCTGTTTTATACTTCTTATGTAGAAAACAAGGAAGTTTTGAGTCTAAGTTGTCTGGTAAGTTCTCTAGTAATGTTACTCATCTATGTAAATTAGAACTGCTCTATTTTATGCACCGAGCATATTATACTAACTTTATAAACATTTTTCAACAACTTTTTGAAAAGATAGTATATACCTTCTGATCTCTTCTTCAGTAAGTTCTCTAGTTATGTTACTCATCTATAGAAGATAAAATGTACAACTAATTAAAATGGAAATGAAAAGTAAATAAAACAGTTACAGACAAAACAATGATTGAACTGCATTGCAATCTATGAATCGCTCTGAATTTCAAAGAAGGGCAATGATGTAGAAATGGAGCAGCACCTTCACTTTGAAAGATGGTCACTATTTCATAAAATGTGTCCCAGTTGCCATGCCTTTGCAGTAGCGACAATCATACAAGAGCAAAATGCTACAAAAACTCTTGCGTCCCACAATCTATGAAGCAGTGCAACTCCCTTCAAATCAAAGTTAAGGCTGAAAAGGATAGCATTATTTTCAACCACAAAACTGAAGACTTTTGATAACAATCTAATCAAAACAACTATCAATTTGACTCTAAATAATGATTTTCGGCATAAAATGGTAACTCCACCTTTTTGGGTAAATTTTGATCCAATCTCTGTTCCAGTCAATTTTTTATCTTCATACTGGCCAAAAATGGATCATAGAATTGGAACCTTCTATTGAAATTTATCTGGTGCCAAAAAATTCAATTTTGTTTGGACTGTCAGGCAGTGAATAACCCCATTTTCAAAATTTAGCTTTTCTATATACAATTCAATGGAATATTTTTCGGTAGTGAAATTTTTTCACTACAGCAGTAAATTACGGTCAAATCTAAAGATATATCTTAATATCTAAAACAAAGTAACTTGTAACTAAATGGTCCAAAGGCCATGAAGTTTTCAGCATAAACTAAGTTCTAACTTCAAGATAAGGATTTCAAATCTGAAGTCCATTTTTAACTTAAGTCTGTAGATAGTGAGATGCAAAAGAGATGATATAATCCCAGGAATGGAGAATTGCTAAATCTTATACACTTGCATTCCATATATTTTTGCCTTTTGATAACAAGAGTTCTTTTTAAATAAGAATTTAAACTATAAAATAACCTAAATCTTAATAGCCATTGCTGTTGGCTTACCCTACACTCCCTTCCCAAAAGATATTCGAATGGAATCTTGTGTTGCATCAGTGCAAGGTCAAGTTAATGAAAACAAAAGAAAAAGTAGATATATTTAAATGATGACAATAGGAATCACTTCAAAATCAAGCCAATTATAAAAGAAAGTAAAAGTGACACAAATATTTGAGTTTGAGTCCAAAGTTCATTTTACTTGTGAAAAAAATTCCAATATATCGTGGGGTATCCACAAGACAAACTGACCATACAGAGACGGCAAGGAATTCATTTATGCAAATTTTTTAAGAAATGGCAAGGAATATTTTTCCAAATGTCAAGATTTTATCAATTAACTGTTGCTTAATCTTTGGAGGATCTATATTTGTTGAATTTTTCATACACAAACAAAGAAGCCATCATATTTTCAATCAAATTTAGCCTGGAGAGGCCTGTGGAAGAGTTTAGGTACATTTGAGTACATTGGAGTTTCTGCTTTAAACTGAACAAATCAATTGGATCTTTATATGTATGACATGGAGACCTTTTTTGACCTGCCTGTTCTCAACTTTTTATCCAGTAAATAGCTTTTTACATAGGTTGCAAATTCTATGGGTTGTGGACTTAGTGTGTTGACTTGCTTTGCGATCCATTTTATGAATAACCTGCCTGGTGTAAAAACTTGATGACCATTTCCTTTGCTTTTACCAGTGCCCAAAGATAAACATTTTTTTCTGCTTTGTAGAAAAATTTTGCCAATAAATTTTCTCAGAACGAAATTTTTAGGTTGCTTTCGTTTATTTGCTGGCGCTATTTATTTAGTTTCTGGCCAAAACTTAAATAAACTTATTTTCTTACAAGGCGTAAGTCACGATCACGCCAATCATTTTACCCGACCGTTCGCATATTTTTGGGAGACGAGTGTACTTTTACAGTGCAAGTACTAGTAGTATGCCATGTGACATGTAGATTACAACTATAAAATTAAAGTTTATTACGTGTCTATCAGTCACTTAATAACTTTATGCTTACAAAACACCATAATACCAAAATACCACACAAAATCAGACTGTACAAAATACAATACAAAAATTGGTCCTAGGCCAAAAGAATGCCATCCTTTTAGTGAGCATAGATGTTGAGCTATTAATAATGGAATCTCTTACAAGCAAAAAACAGCTGTGATTTTCAAAATATGACATGGTGTAAATATATTTTTATAACGAAAATGAAGATCTATTCACCATTGCAACGAGCTTGGGTCCAGTTGCCACAACCACAGGACTTTCCTCTCCGGCCGCCATCTTTGCACGTATCCAACGGATATTGAGGCTACAAAAATGATAGGGAGGCTAAAGGTCATTGACATGGCAACAACAACATAATCAGGAGCACGGAGTTTCCAAAGTTGAAAAAATGAACACAAATATGCAAGAAAAGCTAGCAATTAAAGCTGTAACAGACAATAGAAACGATCGAAAACCTCCTCTGGATTACACTTTTATGTGTCTTACATCAGTGAAAGGTAAATGCTGAGGCTTATCTTGAAGATTAAAAAAGATATCATTTTTATGAAGAAACCGTCACCACCTCTCGAGTTCTGCAACAATCAATGTAAAAAAAACTAACTCATTTAAAGAGAACTGATATATATTTATCATAGTCTTGTGATAGTGGCTTAAAAATCCGTTCAGTCTCCTCAAGTAATGAGCGCTCTCTGTGAAAGTTCTTTTTCTTCTCTAGAATGTCTTGATGAAGATCCAAGAGGTTTGATCCAAGTACAAAAAAATGATGTAAGTATAGTCAGCAAATGGTTGCTTCAGCATTGCATCTATAGAAAAGGCTTAAAAATGGCTTTAACAAGTACCACTTTTTATTTGAAACTTGTCAGAGTACTACTCTTTGAGCCTTATTAAGACCCCTTTAAATGACCATATACTTTACTCATTATATACTCATTATTTCCATACTCTGGAGAGTTTTAGACAAAAGGTTGAATGTCGTAAAATGTTTACTTTTTTCAAAGCCATTTTTCAACAAATATTTTTCAAGCTGAAATAGTTAAAAAGTGAGTAGAAAATGCTTCAAGGGAGAAGCCTGAAATTTGTATCACAAGTTTGGGATAGAATCGAAACATTCCCCCTTGTAATATTAGTAAAGTTGGAATAGTTTTGCCAATATTAGCAGTGGCAGAGATTCAAATATTGTTTCTCTCTTCTTGGCATTTATTTGTCTTTCTCTACCCTACTATTCTTTATTTACATTATTGTAGGATAAAAAGGCAAGCAGCGAGCAAGTAGAAAAGAAAAAACATGACACAACTGCCATACGGTTGAGCAACAATCTGATCACAGAGTGGTCTGACTTCTCACAATGTATATCAGATATCATTATTGAGCCATTTAAACTAGAGTGGATTGACTTGTCATTCAATGATATATATACCATTGACAAGGTAATAATTGTTCTAAGATCCTTCATTGTTTGGAGGTCATAGAATCACCATATGCAGTGCACAGAGTGTCAAATCCTTACAATAAGTTTACCTACTACAAAACTAAAAGAGCCTTTGACAGACCAAACTTTGAAAATAGCACTTAAATGCAGTATATCATCATATATCATACTGAGTAAAAGTATATCATACTGAGTAAAATGATTTGTTTCAACCTTTCTATGCTATTTTCAATTTATACTCATTCATTTCTATTTTGATCAAACTATTACATCAGTGCTCAAGATAAACTTGCAAGTATAAATTCTAAACAATGTCCAATATGCCACTGATTATTAATGTCAGATAATGAATGAAGGCAGGCAAAATATATATCCAGGTGTGGACTGAAGGTAGTCAATGGACCCTAGTACAAACACCTTTCTGTTCTTCACTTACTTATTAATTATTTATCCTTGTTTTTACCTAACTCTTTGACAAGCAGGTGAACAGTAATTTTCATTCATATAAATAGGGAACTTCCAAGTATTAGAAAAGTAAAATTTATGCTAGTTCTGTATTATTTTGTCATTTATATAACTCTTTTATCTTGCAGTGTATTCTTGACTATCCAAATTTAAAGGTTTTATACTTGCATGGCAATGCAATTGACAAAATTTCAGAACTGGATAAACTGGCAAATCTAAAATATCTAAAGACCTTGACTCTGCATGGCAATCCTATAGAAGAAGATGTCAGTGGGTATAGACAATATGTACTTTCAAAACTACCACAATTGAAAACTTTCGATTTCAGTGCTGTTACTAAACAGGACAGAGCAAGTGCCCAAACATGGAATCAAATGATAAAATCTAAAAAAGGAACCAAAAAAAAATAAACTTTATGAGTTGGATAATACACTCAAATGTACCTGATAATTTCCTATGATTAACTTTGTATAAATGCATCCTTGATTGTAAGTTGTCTTAAGGTATTCCATGTTAACAAATGTACATACTGTCACCTTAACAGTCTATATAACGGCAATATATCTGTTTTGTACTTTTTGTAAATTTCTGTGGAAAGAGAAAATTTCGATGAGTAGAGAAATGAAACATTTTCTGTTAGTTATTTCTATCTTTAACATAAAAGTATCGTGTTAACATAAAATGTAATAAATTGTGTCATCTTATGAGGTAGCGACAAATGTTTTTCTCTCACTCAGTCTCCTTCAAGTCATGAACTTTGAGCTCTGTACTACTTCATGAAACATTAATATGGGTAGGACAGCAATTCAGGAGTAAATCATACAGGTTTTTTGAAGCTACGACATGCTTGCATTTTATCTGTGCTTGTGCAATCTAAGAAGCTTTTCTGTGCAGAAACTTGAAGACAAGCACATTTTGATAAGGCTAGGTCAAGGTTTCCATGTTTCTTTCTAAGAGTTTCGGAAACTTTTGACTTGACCCTTTCTAGGGTCGATTCCAGAAACAAGACCTCCCCCTCCAGCTACAAAGTGAAAAAGGCAAATCCCTGCAAGGATGCCTTTTATTCAAACACAAATATTTCTTTAGCACTTGGCACTTGGCAGTTGGCAGTGACAAACTTCTGATTAGGACTGTGCTTATCACAAATTCCAAATAGTTTTGTATCAAGTTTACCAATCAATTGCAAGCTTTGATCTGGTTCGAATATTACAAAATCGTCAAAATTCCCAAGCTGTCAGACAACTACTCTGACAGAAATCCTTCAGCAGTATAAAAATGCCCATGGTATCCTGATTTAAAGTTACAGCACTTTCAATAAAATTACAGAAAATGCCAAGGGCATAGAATTCCATCAGAGTCTGTCGAGCAGTCTGCTACCTTGGTCTTTACTTTATTTACATCCATAAAAAACAAGTTTGTAAATTTTCTTCTTGTCATGTACCATAAAACAAGCAGCCCCTATATTTTTTACCATTCCTTGTCCAATGGATGGGTTTATAATCTTTGGGTTTTTTCCTTAAAGGGAAACTCGACCATTTTAGCATCCTTTAAATTTTGTATTTTTTGCGGTGCGGGCGAGAATTTGATGAACTAAAGCCCTGGCAAAACGACTAAACATTTCACTAAACATTTCACTAAACATTTCACTAACTTTTGTTTAGTGAAGTTGAGCGAAGTTTGGCGAGGGTGGCAAAACGTGACTAAACTTTTAACTAAACTTCACTCACTTTTTTTGAACTGCGAGCTGTCTATGACGCTGTTGGATTGATGGGGATCTTGCATAGGAATTTGCTTTTGGTTTATTTTGTTGCATGCACAAGCAGTGAATAAAAATAAGAATTGGATGAAGCGACGTGGAAAGAAAGGACTTTTTAGCACATCGACAACGTTGTGTTGTTGTGTTGTTGTTCGAAATGTTGACTGTGGAAGAAGACACAGTGGTGTACAACGAGATATGCAGATGTCTCATAAAGGCTTTTAGGGTCACGTAGAGACAGGAAAACCAGCGAAAACAGACGAAAACCTTTGGATTTCCACAGCTAGAGCGCCTGCGCGATTACAACAAATGTTTAATTGGTGGCAAAACGACTAAACATTTGCTAAACAACACGAAACAACGCTAAAAATCTTTGACCAGGATCAAACTTTGCTCAACAACACTCAACACGACTAAACAACACTAAACTGGGTGGCAAAACGACTAAAATTTTCACTAAACTTTTAACTAAACAAGAGTTGAGTGAAATGTTTAGTCGTTTTGCCAGGGCTTAAGCGAAGTTTGAGCATCCCATAGAGTGACTGTCTCCATTCTTTCTGCTACTTTCAAGAAACATTACTAGTGTTAGACGGAAAATTACACTCATCCATTTCTAAAAACCTATTTCAGCATTGACATAAGGTGAACTTGTTTTGTTCTGTATTTGTATAAACTGTTGAAACGATATCTTGATGCTTTTGGTTGGATTCTCCGCTTGCACTATCACCATGTAAGTGTGATGTTATCCGCTAGAAGTTCATGTTTTCTATTCAGCAAATATTTCAAAGTACAGTTAATCATGTGCAATAAAAATTCAGGAGAGGAAAATTTTTCGACAAGAATCAGTTTAAAATCAAGTTCTAAACTGGTGATGAATTTTTGAAATTAATTTCCCAAACCGTGGTTAGAAGCTCAAACTAAATCTGATGTCAGCCTTTTGAAGCACTATATCAGCACAAAATCTTAAGATCTTTGTTTATGCAGAGGGTTCAATGCACCTTGGCTGCATAAAACATGCAATATTTACGGTACAAATTTTGAATTCTCGTTTAATATACGTTTCTCGGCGAAACGAACTCTTTAAATCAATGTTGGTCAGAACTAATCAAATATCAAACGTGGGCATTGAACATTTTAGCGTAAAGCTCAATTCGTTTGATGCATTAGAAACAGTAAAACACATCTTAGAAGCCTATTTGTATATACGTTTGATAAAAGACAGTCGCAAACTTTGGAATGCGTTGTCTTAAACCTTGGAAAAGCAGTTTTTAGTTTGCAGAAACAATTAAGTAAAATGGGTACTTCCCTAGTGCGTGTAATGGAAGTAGTATTGGTTTGTTTTTCATGGTATATTCAACGTGTTTCTTGCTTTGAATTCAGAACGTCTGGGCAAATACAAGGGCGAGAAGAAGCAATTCGTATTTATAAACAGATAAAGAGAAAGGCCAATGGTTCTTACACAAGTGATTCAGCAACAGCAGTTCAACGATCTACCTCAAAGACTAGCCTGACATTGTTGGATATGAATTTTTCAAGTGCAATGATTTCGACAACCGCTTTCATCATCATGGTCGCCTTTTGCCAAGGAACAGTACTTGATAAGACATCAACAAATTTTAGTTGCTCTTTGAATTCAACCACGAATAATAAAAAACCGGATACAGAAAAGATAATAACAAGCACTCTTGCGGTGGTGCTAGCATCAGATATGATGCATTATGTTAAAGAAAGTGAGAGGAGAGAGAAGGCAATCACAAACTGCCAAAATCTCAATGGTTCGTTCATCGAGAGCACGCAGGATTGTGTACGATATGAGGAATTGACAAACAAGTCACAGGGTTGCCATAAAGTAACTTATATTGATAAAAATTTGTTCATTCTTGATATCGATAAAAGGCAACATGTTGAATACACGATGCACCTTACAGGCAACGCATTAAGTATCATATCCCTGGTACTGTTACTTATAACATACCTAATAAACACTGAATTGCACACATCATACGGACGAAGCGTCGTATTGCTGTCTCTTAACACTCTTCTTTTACAGATATTTCAAATACTTTCTCTAGAATTGAAAGAGAAGGATAAATTCTGTTTTGCGCTCGCTGTAATGCAACATTGGTCTTATTTGGTTGTGTTTACGTGGATGGCTTCGATCGCATTCGATATATCGGCCACATTCTCGCGTATTCGACAACCATCTGCGGCGATCCAGATGCGTCGATTCAAACTCTACACGATGCTGAGTGAAATATCTCCGACTGTTGTCGTAGCTGCCTGCTTAGCCTTAGACGCCTGCAGTGGAAAGAGCTTCATAGGGTACGGAAAGAATAATATTTGCTTCATCACAAACTTCCTGGCAAATATTCTGGCTTTCTCACTTCCAGTGGCAGGCATTATCATATTCAACATAATTTGCCTTTTTGTGACACTTATTTTCATTGCTAGAGCTCGTCGGAATTCTAGGTCAATCTTAGGACCAAAGCGCACTCGAAGCCAGGAGGCGATGACCTTTGTCATAATGACACTAAAACTCTCCTTTTTCTTTGGATTCGGCTGGATATTCGGTCCTATTGGCCGGATTACCCGCAGCGTCAATGTGTTATACGTGTACATATTCTTTAGCTCCTTCCAGGGGGTATTCATTTTCATCGCATTCTGTATCAATACAAAAGTTATTCAATTCTATAAATCGAAACTTGCCAAGATTGCACCAAAGCCTCGACGCTTGCAAGATACTGGTCAATCGCAGGACACACATTTGTAGAGCAAAACATGATACGAGCAATGTATCTTTCATGACATATGGAAAAATATTCGTATGTTAATACGTTCAATTGTTGTCATGTCTCTAAAGTTGTATGAAGTAACATTTATTTATATATATATATATCTATATATATATAATATATATATAGCAAATAATTATAGGTGTATTATCACGATTCACAAAGACAATCACTTGATATACTATTTTTCAGTTTGGCTGAACACTCTTGCAGTGTTTGTACATCAGCATCCACTTTCTTTGAGAACAAACTTGTTCCATGGATCAGTACGTTTACGTCACATCCCCAATTCAACAAACTGCCTGCGGCGAACAACACGCGAACAACTGTGTGATTTTCTGCAGTAGCAACCGCAATTAATTTCGATTAATAACTTTCAAAACTCCACTGTGTTTGATAAAAAACCAAGCATGTCTTATGATCACTGCGTATGATTTAAATACTTTAAGTCATCTTTATACAACATTTGGCCTATGAGGTGGGGAGGCCTATCTTTACGAAAATCACATGATATAAGTACCCTTTGCTTCCATCAATAAAGATTATACAAGTTCATAAATCTGACATGTGTTCTATAAAAATAAAATCAATGTAAAACTAACATTTTTCAATCGGAGTATGGATGTTCCGATCAGGCAGATAGTAGCTGCGATTATAATCCAACATAAAATATTAAAAGACCGGGCTACTACTTGACAGAAGGGACAAATGGAGAATCTTTTGAAGGGCTTAGCTATCTATACCCGACGAATGTACTAGTATTTGTAAGCACTGCTGTTTCGCAGGGTGTAAGTGTAACATGCCCCAAAAGAATATCCAAGATGCAAGAAAAAATTAAACCATACAAAGATTTATCGCTCGTCTATGTTTTTAAAGAGCGATGATTATTACAGCAAATGCTGCTGAAATTTTAATCTTTCCCACCATCTACGATTTACTTGCTAAAAACGATTAACTATTGTAAATTATGCTAATTACAAAATTAATTTGTCGTGAAGATTATGTGGAATCTCTTTCGTCTTTCGGAATATCTTGTTCTTAATAGTGTCTGGTGGTGCTTTGAATTTGAAGAAAAACGCCAAAAATACAATGTCCTTAAAAAACTCAAACCCCCATATCCCACGTCAGCTCTTCACGACATTCTAAAAAAATTTATCTTATACATACATTTCTATGTTTATGATTCGAAACAAAAATTGTACATTTACAAAAAAATATTACATAGCTCAAGTAAGCACACACCAAAAACAAAACATTACGTTCTTACAGAGGTCTAGCTAAATTACCAATAATCGAGACTACAAAGCTGAATATAAAAAGATAAATATTACCACTGACAAAACCTGCCTTACTCTGGATAGAGTTCAACATTGTATATACATCTGCCAGGTCATCCGTCAAAATTCTGTCGAGTCCACGTTTTACCTCGATAGACAACTTTTCCTTGTCTTTTTTCTTGTCTCTGGGAACAAGATCTTCATAGTATGCCAAAATGGCTCCATAAGACATTTTACGATTGTAGTTTTTTTGCAATATGCTTTTGGTCGTGTCTGAGCGTCCGTCAAAGTACTTTGCATTACCTATGACATCGAAACTGGCATCAAAAATCGAGCCGTTCACTGACTTAGTAACAATGCCTGTTTCGTAAAGGAATGGCAGAAACTTTATCCCTGTAGGTGCAGTCTTGATGTAACAGTCTCGTAAACCATTAAGATCAGTAAATTCCTTCCTCATCTTCCCAGCAATTTGGTCATTGTAAAATTCCTTTTTCAGCCACCAACCAGAAACAATATTTGAATTCTCGTGATTCAAGACTAGCAATTTAAAAGGGTCTGATGAAACGACAAATACCTCATCCTCCATTTTCAATTTTCTAATCAGTTTTCCAACACCAAGCCCTAGGCGCAATGCATGATCCCGTTCAGCCGGGTTTTCTGGCGGTGCATCTGTTGGAACCAGCTAAAGAGGTACACAAGTCAAAGTTAGTTTTCATGGTTTAACCACGCAAAATCATTACAAATATAAAATATACATGTTCTGAAATCAAATGTTAAGATAACTGATTTCTCATATAATTCTAAACTTAATAAAGGCAATCTAAATTGTTTAGCAATAGTGTTTCCTCCTAGATGTTGAACCGATTGGAAACATATTTGACAAGTAAGCTCCCTTGACAAGATGTCAATAAATGTTGATGAAAATATTGAATAATTTTGTAGATGAAATTTAAACAACTTGAAGAGGACAAAAAAGACAAAGAAGACAAAAATCAATAAATTGAAACTTTAAGTAGAAGGAGTCTTGAGCTGAAAATGGGGAAGTAATAGAAAATAGCAAAAAGTATTATTCAGAAGGGGTTTGCTTAAATATAATCAGGACCAAAGGAGATGATGAAATTCTATGCATTTTTCTTCAAAAAGAAATGTTATCCAAAAAAGTAATTAAATAAGTTTACCTCAATGTAAATCAGGAGTCCCTTTCCCTTAACTTCATTGAGAACATTTTCAAGAAGTGGAATCTTTGCAGTAGAAGAATATGTAAATGTTCTATTCCCTCCTGAAAACAATGGTATTACAAATAGTGAAATATCTTATTGATTATAAACAAACGTGTAGGCAACAGAAAGTGCTTGAGAAGTCAAGATCCTTTGTTTCATAGAAACAAAAAAAATTATTAAAGCTATTTAACACTGGATATTTCATTTCTTGGAGTGATACTACGAGAAAAAGCAACAGCAAGCCAGGTCTTGTGAATTCTGTGACACCTTATGAAGAGTATTAAAACCTTGTTAACTGTCTGCAGGACAACCATCACCCTTACCTGGAACCAGGGCCACTAAAACAGTGGTTTGCAAGTACAGGACGGGGATGCTCTTTAAAGTTATGGCCCTAATACCCAAGATAAACTACAATTGCTTATGAAAAAGAAACATGTCTGACAAGATATCTCAAATTATACCTAAAGATAATTACTGTTATTATAACTTCTTTTCAAGCATTCAGGCCCAGCTGTTTGTGCTTTTGCAGGCGAGCTTTGAATGATTCCCCTCAATTGCTCAGGTGAGCTAAATAAATAACACATAGAATGTACTTTAAAGGCAATCAGCAGATATAAAAGTGGCTTAACCTGTCTGTCAATCAATATTAGCCAATCAATGAGATCGTGGGGAATGGTCAGTTCTTGATTGAAAGACAGCTTAAGCCCCTCTAGTATGTGCCAATTGCCTTTAAATCGCCTTAAGGTCAGGTAGAATGAAGTTTTCAAATGATTTTCATTGAAATCTGTAAGTGGATAAGCGAAGCTATCATACAACTATATTACAAGTGTCTAAGAAAGTACTCAAAGAAGTCACAATTAATTTGTTGAGTTCTAGGTATAAATGTAATTGTCATTGGACATGGTTCTTTCACATTTATCTGAATCTTCAAAGTTTATAATTTCAACAACTAGAGTTTCAACTCCCTTTCAATTTCTGATTTGAAAATTTTTTCTGCATCTCTTCTCCACATGTGAACTGAACTGAATGAGCCAGATGTCTTTTTTTCTATTTCTGCCAAACTTTGTCACTCTCTTTCAACTATCATCCAATTTTCCATGGTTTCATATTTAATGCTTAGCCTACTACTATTCTTAAGCAGATGGGTTAAGACACTGAATGCCCTTTCCACAGCAAAATTTGAGCCAGCAAAAATTATCACTAACTCAACAGTAAGGAGCAAATAGGGGGAATAAAAATTCTAACTTGCTGCATCAATTGTTGTTGGCAAGAAGTTTAAATATATTTTATTAAGCAAACAGTGTAACAGCCTAACAGTAAATCTATCCAGAATAAGCTTAAGACTTTGTATACCATAGTCTCTATCTTCACTCAAGTTAGGTGAGAAATAAATTTGCAATTACATTTTAAGGTATGTTGTCTGTTTAAGGAAACCTTTCTTAAAAGCAAATTCTTCAATGCAAATTCTTAGCATTTGCAGTAACCTCCGGTGACTCTGCTGATAATGTTGTTCCTGCAATTCTTCATAGTATTAAAACGATCCCCAAAATTTCATACATATGGCATAACTTGATTCACTCCAAATGCATGAGATGTGGGCCCTGCCGCCTCTGTCTATTTGGGGTAACATTGATCTCAACTTTGAAAAATCATGTAATTAAGACTGCAACCTTTTTAGCAAACTTTTGACTTTGCATTTGACTCCATTGGCCCTGAACTGTCTGTCAAGATATTTTCGAAAGAAGCTAGTTATCATTTCTAGAGACATGTCGATGTCTATAAATGCTTTATAAAAGGGGCACTTTTATGGCGCTTTAAAAATGCTTTATAAATGCTTTAAAAAAGGGGCACTTTTGAGTTTGAGTTTGAGTTACAATGGCAGCCTCTTTGCACAAAGGATTTAAAAGAACAGATTCTGTCACTTACGTGTAAAGCTTACACAACACAAAAATAAATATCCTCTTACCAAACAATCTTTAGGTAGTGAAGAATTTTAAAAGGGCTTTGAAAAAAGCAAACATTTTGAAATGTACTTAAGCTTTTTGTCTGACACTCTTCAGAGAGCAAAACGTTAGAATGGACAATGATCAGGCTTTACCAATAATCAGAAACATGTCACCATTATAGTGCAATCTGAGTTTTCCAGTAAATGAGTTGTCGTTTTTTGATCTGCAAGACCCAGGAGGCTCTTCTCTTTGAGTGACAGTTTTTTTTAATGCTAGAAGGAATGTGCTGTTTCATTCTACCCCTCCCCCCTTCCCCATTATCAACAACTCTTACCAATTTCTTAGACCTTCCTGCCAAAGGTATGCCTGTTTTTATAAGATTGAAAGGTTCTAAGCAATGCAAAGATACTTTTGCTTCACTAGACAAAGACAGGACAAATGGCTTATCAAGGATTCTGTGAAACGGGCAAATGAATGAAAATTTTAGGGGAGCAATTTTCCTTTCATGTTCAGTTTAGGAGAGCAATTCACAGCTTGTCTCAAGTTGCAAGGACAGTGCAGAGGCAAGCGGGAGCTATCGCTCACCTCAAATGGCCAGGCCTAATGCTTAGCATTATTACTTTGCCATAGCTAACAGCCCTGACAAGGTACAGCGGAAGAGTAAAGACATTGCAATAAAAATATTGCAACATGCATGAATTGTTTCTGTCAAATTCGGATCAATGACAAAATGATAAAACACCTTGTGCAACCTCCCATGTTTTACCAATCCCATCCAACCCCATCCTGTCCTGTCCTGCCTTACATTAATAAAAAGGTAATTGTATTTTGATATTTTTACTCCAACCTAAATTAATCACAGGCCTTGAACTTCTGACACTGAAAGATTGCTCTTTCCCCCTTTTGTGACACTCTCTGCATTGTCTCACACAGAATAATACACTGAAATAAGGTGATTGTGAGTTCAAGGAAATTGTTAGAGGTGATATGCTAGCTTGAATGACTCGAAAGTTTGTTTACTTATCATCTTTTGGGCCTAGGTTTTTATGTGATATCTTTTGTAAACATAAAACATGTAAGACCATATTTTGACAAAGAATCTTTATTATTAGAGAGGAAAGTCTATTCTGCAAATGAATGCCGAAAATAATACCTGAGACTATTTTTTTCTTTAATGATAATGCTGCAATTGAATTATAATCTGCGATGCGAACTGTAGCATCTACTCCTGTCAGCCTCTAGAAAAAAAGGAAATTCAAAATGTTAGATAAAGCCTTATTGATACAAACAAAATTTTTAAACATTAAATCAACAAGGCTTAGCATGGGGTTGTTGAGTATAACATGGCAACTATGAAAAAATATATAATTAAGCCAACATTTTGAAAAAACAGTATGAGTAAAGCATAGCATAACAAATTCCAAAGTACTAAAGGATCAGCATTGCTTGAATATTAGGATATAAAGATCAACTTAGCTGGATGATACAAAACTAATCACCACCCAGTTTACAGTCACAAGTTTTCAAGCAACATTTAGAATGACTTTAAACAGAGACTTGTATGCAAATTTATATATGGAAGGGAACCATGCCATACTACACACCCAATAAATTCACCCGTAATCTAAAGAAGAATCAGCGAAAAAGAATATATAACATTCATTTTAAATAGTAACCATAATGCAATTAACATAATTACCAGAAAGTTCTTATCTCCAAACAAGATCATCTTGTCATCTCTAGTCATTTGAACTTGCATATGAATCCCTTGATATCCCTTCTTAATAACATCTTTCATTCCTTCCAATGTATTCTCTTGATGTGCAGTGATACTTCCTTTGTAGCCAATAATTGCAGGTCTCTGCATTCTGTGGTAAACATGCCCAGGTGGTATCGTAGTTGTATTAACATACTGAAAACAGGTACTGCTGTATGACTCTGATTTTATGATAAAATCTGAAAAAAATATGAACTTATTTTAAAGTCAAATTGCAAAGTAAATTTTATAAATCAAGCAAGCACTTTTTGAACCTCTGTACTATTTTACCCTTTGGTATTCAGCAATAAAAATTGTTTTCACAAAACTAAAGACCCTAGTCACTTTTTTAACTTCCAATATGAGAAACAATTGGTCACCTATTTTACACTGATGTTTAGTGAGAAATATGTAACATTAAATAACCAAGTATATACTTTTTCATAAAACACTTTATCAGGTTGATCATAGATTTTTGTCAATTTAAATAACATGTACAGCAATTTTCACAAATTTCATGACTTTGCAACTATTCTTTACAAGAATACTGATCTGTTTGCTTAACATCTTGACATGAAAATCTCTAGCCCAGAAAAATTGTCTCAAGTGACATCTCAAGTGAGTTATCAATATAATACCTTAATATTGGTTTTGAGAATACTCCATGGCAAGTTATAAGTAAAAAAGTGGATCCTTTCCTCAGGTCACCAATTTTTCCAGAACATTCTGGGTGACAAGGACTCTTGAAGCCTCCATAGATATATCAAATCGTTGATTGTGGTCCTGAAACTTCCTCCTTACAAATTTTCCATTTTTGGCTTTTGAACCTTAGATTAGGGCCTGGACAGGGGTGGGCAGGGAAAAGGGGCATAGCTCCAACATTAATTGTTAAGATATGTTTTTTGAAAACTGATAAACAAACTATTTCTACAAAATGTCTCTTCTACTTCCAAAGCAAGGCTTCTCAAAATTATCCAGCTTATTGCACAAAAGTTTATTGCTACGACAAGAAAACATTTGTTATAGAAGGGAATATCTTCCCTTCTAATTTAGGATATCATATTTAGTAAATAATTTTTTGAGAAAATAATACAATGATATTCATTCAAAATGAGAGAGGATTCAATTACGTCTATTCTATGAAGCCATGTCTTGAGATTTAAGAGAGCTTGAAGCATAAAGAAAATCCTCTGAATTTCAAAACAGAACAAGAATTTTTATCAAGATATTTGTGCTTCCATTTCTAATTTTCTTGTTTGTCACTCTGAGTCTGATACTATAGTTATGTGAACATATTTTTTGCTAAATTGAAGCGCAAATTTGCTAAATTTGCTAAATTAATTCCTTTGAATAACATTCCTCTTGAGTTAAACAAAACTGTTGTTATAGCAGATAAATTATCATTACCAAAATTTGATCGATAATCTTATTACTGCAACTATAATTTGGTTACGATTTTGCCCTACTCTAGCTTCATTTTTATTTCACCTTTTTAGTGCTGCTAATGCATGACTACATTGCCACTGAGCTGTAAGATAAACAACACGGAACTTTCATTTATGAAGCTTTTTAGAACTAGGTGAGCTTTCATTTTTGGATGAAAAAAAGAAACGGCTACAAACACCGTCACTGATGAGCGAAAAATGATTACGATAAAAACTTTAATCGAATATTTCTTAGCGACCCAGAAATTCAATTGTCATTCAAATATATAGATTGGAGAAATGGCCTATCGATCGTCAGAAATTTTGGAGTCGTTGAAAATAGGCCATTCCTTGAAAGCTGTCGGTCAAAAGAGTAACTTACGAAGAAAGATGATTGCCAATGTCACAGAGGTCTTGACCAACATTATGATTATGAATGAAAACAAATTTCTTTTTCATTGATTCTCTTCACTTCTGTCTTCTTCCTCGCATGACTGTCATCAACTTTATTTGCCAATAAAGCAAATAACCTCTCAGCGCTTGCGCATTGCCATAGAGGCGGAGGAAGTATCCTAATGAACTTTCTTTGAATTCGCAACAGGTACAGGGACGCCGGAAAGGAGTCGCGAGGGGGCAACCACTCCTCTAGCCCTTTGGAAGGAGGGACAAGGAGGCGAAGTTCTTATCAAAGAGATTCACGTGAAATTCTGACTTTATGCCAGAAGTAAGGCCATTTACAAGATGCTTAGAGAAGGAAAAGATGGAAATTTTTTTACATGCTCTTTTCTTTTGCTGAAGACTGAACCCCTTCTCCCTTCTGGCGTCCTGAAACCGGCATAAAATAAACAACTTTAAAATTGCTCTGTTTAGTCGACTAGACTTTTTTAGCAAATTTGGTAATCAGTCTCCGTTAAAAGATTATTGTTGGCTTCTTGGGACGCAAATTGATTAGACTTTTTTGACTCAGAACGACTATCCGTTTAGTATTGTAATACTGCTTTGCGCTTTGCCTTGCAACACATGTCAAGCTTCGCAGCGACCGCACCGCCACGCCTTACTTGTGTTGCTCAGCATTTTAGTTTACTGATTGCTACCAACAAAGCTACATAGGAAGTTTATTTCGAATCTCATTTTGCTTGTTTTCTACGTTCACGTTTTCTAATAAACTCAGTAACACCTTTGTATTTTCTCCGCATTATATCTTTTAGTCCTATTAACCTTGCAGATTTTAAATAGACCTTCGCGTATCATTTATTTGTCCCTTGAGCTATAATATTATATTGTACAATTATGTATTTAGATTTTTACACAATTTGCTCAGTTCGTTTTATGAGAGCTCTTGTGAAAGGTTCTCCAGTTAGTCTAAAATTACGATTTACTTGTTAAAGCATTTCGTCGATATACATCTTGTTGTTCCGAGAAATTTGTCGTTGTTCTTTCGTTTGAATATGAAAATAAGTCCTTAGACCGCTAAACATATTACAGTATTTCATGGATGAATGAACAAAAATGCTGCCTCAGGGCATTTCTTAAAGGAAACGAAATATTTTGAGAATTGATGTCGGCAACAGTATTTGAAAATGCTTCCATCTAGTTTACTTGAAGAAATTTTGACAGCAAGGCTCGGCTTAATCTTCCGAGTCTGAAAATTTTTCGATCAACATTTTTAGATTTGAAAAACTTTGTTGCTCTTTCATGCAATAGCTTTTTGATTTATTTTCTTGAGTTTCATTACAAATTTGTTAAGTGATATTTTGAACCCGGTTTTGCAATCACTGACTCAAGTAGACAATTTGTTTGTTCCGTGTTAGGACGGCCAAACCTTGGGTTCCACAGCGTCAAGCGTAGCAAGTGGGGCGTCTAGGAATACCCTTTTCCCTCGACGCCCCACTTGCTACACTTGACGCTGTGGAACCCAGTGAAAGACGGCCATTAAATATTTGTTCCTCGTAGACCAAGTACAATTATTTTTGGGTTGATTTTTCTATTTTTATTGATTTTTGGGTGTAGTTTTGGCAGATATTAATTTTTGTGTTTTCGTTAAAACGTCTAGCCTAAACCCTCTTGCCCTTGTCATGTCAGAACATTTTCTGGCATTGAAGTTTCCACTTATTTTTGCTTGATTAATCATCAACTAGAACCGTGTATTGAAAAAATAGGACGTCAGGTTTGGGGCTTATCTTCAAATATCAATTCCAAGGTGCGGGCTTCACTTATTTGGGAGGGGGGCTCATACTAGAGGGGTTGATAGAAATCGATGATTTACAACACTACCTTGTTGCGAACAGCAAGGCTATATATGACATTGTAAACAAGGCAACCTAGCATTTGCTTCTTTCATAATAACTGTTGAACACTATTGAACAGGTGAAATGTAGAAATAAAGAGTTTCCTTGCAAAAATATAGCAACTATTCATGAAAAAAGGTCCTTAAATATTGTGAAAATTGAAGGAATGTTAAAACCATATACAATAGTATTATAAACATGAGGCAAATTGAAACAACATAAGAGATCGGACAAATGTTCAGGCGTTTGGATTTGACTTCATCAGCTGCAGATCTTTTTCAACCATTTCTTTTACCAGATCCTGAAGAAAGGAGATGATTGTAAAATTTCTTCTTAAGACAGGGGTGTAGCCTGGTTGTATAAAAACACAAGGTTCCCCTGGTTAAATAAAAACACGATCATTTTGTGCAGTGATATCAAAATCTGGTGCAAATATGACTTGCATTGTATTGTCACCTTATCGTGAACTCCACAGACTCGTGGCAACCATAACTAGAAGACATACTCCTGCTATAAACATTGCTAGGACGTACCTCAAATTCAATCTCTCGTCGCCATCCAAGGATCTTTTGTGCTTTTTTAGGAGATCCTTGCAGCCGATCCTAAAAAATTCAAAAGCAAAAAAGAATAAATAGAATGTTTATCATAAGTTCAGGATACCCGGCAATATTTCAACTTCATATGAAATATCGAAGACCTGTGATATGCCCCTCTCTCTCAACCAAATCAAGTCAGCCAAGTCAAGGTCAAGGAATCCTTGTTTAGAATCATTTTTGTGAGTCTTTAATACAACTCCTTGCATGAATATCATTCTACAAAGGCCCTTGGCGCTTATGAAAGTTTCAAAGTTGAAAAAAATTATGTTCTTATCCGCTCACCACTTCAGACGGCCGATAATAACGATCGCTGACTTTCACCATCACCTTCCCAGTGTGTTTATCTTTTCCAACTTCGAATAGGCCTTTGCCAGCCCACCTACAAAAACAAAAATTCGACATATATCAAAAGTAAGAAATTCTCAACATTTTAAGTGAAATCTAGCCAAAATAACATCTCAAAGCCAAGCAGTGTGCAATATCATGAGAAGTGACGTTCACAACCACCCCAACTCAGCAATACCGCCAAGATTTTCTCTTAAATGTTCAATTAATGATGTTTAGTTCAGTATTCGGGCTGGTTGCTCGAAAAAATCACAACAGATTTCTGTCTCACAAATACTTTCCTCATTAAATGTGTTTAAGGCATACAATTTTTTAAAAAACTGTCATAAAAAGCAGTATTCAAGACAAATTGGCAGGTTTGGAGGCTCCCTGGGAGAGGGTCTTTGTTCCCATGTTGCCGAAAATTTTTCAAATCTTACGCATATTCCCAATATGTTTCTTGAACGCAATTTTACAGCCTCTCTTCTGTTTTATACATTGATTTTAACTTCAAAATGAATGGCATTGAATGCAAGCAAACTTACTCAATTTCTATCCCAGTGTGTCTGAACGCATGTTCCACGAATTCTCTAACCGTATGAGCTTCCCCTGTAGCTACGACGAAATCATCGGGTGTGCTCTGTTGAAGCATCAGCCACATGGCCTATTAAAAAGAGATTCACAATTCTATGGCAAGGATTGTTCCACCTGAGCGTATTTTACAGGCTAACAATTAACTTAAAAGTAAGACCTGAAATTACCTCTAGCATCTGTGAAGTAGAAGAAGCTGATTTAGGTTGCTAGTAACTAAGAATGTAATCTTATTCATCGCACAATTTTTAATATCAAGGTCTTTTTTCATTCTTGCCAATTCAAGGAGAAAAATTTGATAAGTTGTGATTCGTTGTGACTGTTGTTCCTTATTCTATCGTTCTAATTTTAAAACTGCCATAGTTATAGTTTAGCCAAAAATTTGCTTTCTCAGTTGGTAACTTGACCGTTCCCTATTTGTAATAGGATTGTCTGACCGTAAAATGGTCGTGATATAATAATGCTTATTTTACCTATCCCCCCTCTCTCAAACACAAACACATACAGCTTGGAGGTTAGAATGACGAAATTGTACAGAAAATACTTGTAAGGAAATCTGTAGTAAAGTATCTCTATTCTCCTCTAAATATAATAAAGCATAATCAAATATTTTGTGAGTTCGAAGCACTTGGAGAAAAGGTAAATGAAATTTCACTGTTTAAAATTTTTCTATGCCGTAGAGTCCACCTTATATTTTAAAAGAATGTATTCAAGTTATTGGTTTGTCTGTACCAAAACGTAAGTGCCAGCGTGACATCTTGTCTTTCTAGGAAACTCTTATTTCATATAGCTCAGCAATTAATACCTTCACGTAATCTTTAGCATGTCCCCAATCTCGTACTGCATCAAGATTTCCCAGTATAAGCTAAATTGAAAAACAATATTTCAGTTACTTATTCCAATATATCTCCGTATATGAATTTCAAATATCAGGACTGTCAGATTAAGGGGAATGCTAAAACGGTCTCCAATGATTCGAATGACAATTTTGGACCTTTTTCATCCCAACAGTTTATGAATTATTACTTTTTAGCCCTTTTTGCTCATATTTGCTCTCCTTCTAAGTCAAATTTAAAATTATTGGTTGGCTTAAAGAAGTCATTAGCAAAATCTGTTAACGATTCAAGGCAAGAAAAGGGGGCAGTATGCCTAATTGATCAATGTTGACCGTCGAATAACTGCATAAGTTTTTATAGATATACGCAGTGGTGTAGTGCTATCAAAAAAAAGGGGGGCTCTTGCACAAATGTTGCAAAAAACAATAGCAAAAGTAGAAATTTGCCAATTTACGGCATCAACAAGGGGGGCTAAACCCTCTGAGGATATCCTACCTATGGTTATACGCTTTGGAGGTATAGAACTGGACAGTTCTAGGTTGCAACTATGGGTTTCATGCTCAATATAGGTTATTTTAAACAGCTGTATGAATCAAATCATGTACAGTTTTGCTATACAACATCGAACAGTATCTACAGACTGAAAAGACAGTAATTTTCATTATGTACAGAGATTTACAAACACTAGTGAAGAGACCAGATTACTGATTTCTTGCATTTATGTTATACCAAAAGAACATTTTCCAACTCAATGTAGCTTGGCTATTCTGGTAGTCCAGAAAGACCATAATACCTTGGTGGTTAAAGAGGGGAAATAGACAATTATTGCCAGATTTGAATTGAAAAAGAATCATTGTCTTGGGTGCAAGGTAAGCAAAAATGTTTAAAACCACTGATAACCATAGCTATTTTAAGACAGCTGTTACGTCACCTCTTCCTGTAGTCCAAGCGAAATCTTGGCAACCGAGCGAGTTATTTTTCTTGTTACAAACGTTTCACCTAAGGAAAAACATATGTTTGACGTATACGATTCAAATTACAATGTACGCTCATGTCAGCTCTGCACTCTGTTTCTTATTTGAGCACTGTCAAGGATTAACAAGAATGTACTTTTAATGAGGTACTGAATTGTTTACACACCATAGAAATTCAGCATTTTTCTTGACAGTTTGTTTGTAGGAAGTTGCATACAAAAGACTCATGTTTTTCAAGGACCAAGAACTCAACGTACTGAGTTTCAACCAACAAAAAAGTTCCGTGTGTTTTCTTATTTCGAGGAACACTGGAAAGCTCATTACTCTTATGAATTAGTTGCACATTTTTTTCCTTAATATGGCAGTTATCAAAATTTGATGCCAAGAATAGGCTGCGATTCATTTCGAAGCCTACGCCTGCTTGTACAATCTTGAAAAGCTGTGGAAGTTAAAAAGTCCTAATTTTACAAATTCTACCGAAAAGTAATCAGATTTGCCGAATATGTATTGAAAAAGAGATAAATGAGCAATAATAAAGAAAAAAGTCGTAATATAAGATAAAATTTAGCAGTTAAGAAAATTACAGGATACTTTATTCAGAAGCTTAGCCATCAGGGTGTTCATTTCTTGAGACTCTATAACAATCACGAACATTAAAAGCCACTTTAAAATGCTGAAGGGTTTTTTGTCAAAAAAAAAACTTTTTTCAGTTTTAGCTCGTTTTGGTTTAAAGCTACGACGTCTCAACCTTAAAAAATAGGATGTATCATTGCTGATGCAGGAAAATATTGATAACAAACCTCTTCTTGGACTTTCGTGATTAAACAGTATCCCATTGCATGCAAATAATCCATAGGCCTCTCTATAATTTATAACGATCCAATGTGCGTATAATTTGGCAACTCCTTAAAAATGGACACAAAACCAATTCAATTCACACGAAAATCTTTACTATAGTCATGGAGATAGATGCAATTGATTTCCTGATCATTGCAGTAAGATACAAGTTTTTTTACCGCGAACTTTCTTTCTTTGCATTAAGCAAGATTTATGAAGAAAATGATTTGAAAATGTTATGTTCTAGCAAACACAATCTTTGTGTGAGTTAGTGTCATATCAAAAATTTAGAGTACCGTCAATCCCCGAATTGCCCCCCCCCCCCACTCGAAAAAGCCCTTCCAAAATAAGCCCCCACCCTAGAACTAAAAATTGTCAACAAGTCCCCCCTCGAATAAGCCCCCGCTGCTACCGTAAATTCTCGAATCGGACCCCTCCATTTGATGATTTTTGCCATCTGAGGTTGCCTATAGCATTTTATTGAATAACCATAACAAATTCATACTTTTGGTAGTAATTAATTAAATGCTCATAAAGAAATTCCTACTAAAATAAACAAGGTCTTTTAGTAATGTCTTCTTAATGTCTACAATAATTCTATATTCCCCCTTTCGTATAAGCCCTCCCCCCTCGAATAAGCCCCCATCCAAAAATATCAAAAATAAAAAAGCCCCCAGGGGGCTAATTCGAGGATTTACGGTATTGTGAAAAGGGCATTGAAAAGGCCTCTGCGCTGCAACACTTCATCGAGGGACAGGGAGGCGTATTTAAGGTCTTGAGATGAGTTTAATTGCATTTGCATTAAATCTTTCCTGAAAAAGTATCCCTCGTTTTAATAATATATTTCATTCATGCCAGTGGCAATAATACATATAAATGATCTATCTATAAGACAAATGTATATTTATACCGTATGGTGATCGCGGATGAAAAGGTGTCATTTCATCCTGCGGACATTGTTTCGTAGATCCATAGAGTTCGCTGGTTGATGCCTTCGAGAAGATAACATTTTCATTGTCAACAAAGTTTAGAGAATTCTTTACATAAATTCTTATTGCTAAATGCGTAGAAAAAGTTTATTCAAGCAGAACAGATAAAAATGTATATATCATTATCGATAATGAAAGCAAAATGGATATGACCAAGAAATCAAACTGTAATCACACTGATTCAGAGTTTATTATTAGAAAATAAACATGAAACTGAAAAGAAATATTATTGAATTTCACTGGGAAAATTACCTGATAAAAACGTGTCTTTGTGATGAGTCCACATTCTTTAATAGCTTCTAGAATTTTTAATGTCCCCATCGCATCAACATTTGCAGTATATTCTGACAACTCAAAAGAAACCTGTAGGAAAAACGGCAAATGTTACCTGCTGCGATATACAGGGATGCCGGAGCTCATTTTGGAGGGGGGGGGGGGAAGGAAGGGGCGAGCGGGCTCTAGACAAGTTGACAAATGTTTATGGTAGTTTGCCACCATGATTGATGCCACAATTTTGATATGGTATCATACCATACTTCAGAAAAAATTGGGGGCTACAGCTCCCTAGCACCTTACACCTCCCCTCCCATCTCCGGCGTGCCTGAAATAGCAAATTACTTTCGCGATATCTCCTAATAAAGGGAGCACAAAGGTTTGCATTTGTGAGCTGTTGGTGTGCACTATAAATAATAACCTAACCTCATGTTCTTAGCTATGCCACTAATGTCATCCCACCCCCTTGCATGTAAAATTGCTATTTTACAAATAGCAGAACTTTCGATGGCTTTTTAAAGAAAAAGCTAATTTCGTCTCTGAAGAGCTTTAACCTGTAGGTCATGAGTAAGATATCTCGCCCGTTTCCTTATTGAATTTTGTCTGTAGAATTGACCAGGAGAGCGTATATGGAATGAAAGTTAAGGCAGTTTGAAGTCTTGCCATGCACAGCAAACCAAATTCAGTTTATTTCACACTTTTAAAACTGATCCGATAAGCGAGTGATGTGCATTTTGCATTCTTACCTTCACATGACTCTGTGCCGCTAAGTGGTATACTTCATCTGGTCGTACCTAGAATAACCAGTAAATTGAGTGTCAATGTTCAATGTTCCAGGAAATGATCCAAAGGATGTTATCCACATTTGATTTCTTTTAAAAAATATAGTCTATCATTACAGTCATCCAATCCATTCAACCATCAAGTCAGTTAATCCAACAATCAAACCCTATATATTGAAAGTTGTAAGATTAAGCTTATCTTCGGGTTTGATTTATTGTGGGGCTATACCATTACAAAACGCTTATTTCCTGTAACCCTTTGCTCATACGGTATATTTTTCTTTACAATGCTACTACAATAGTACCGTCTGTCATTCATTATCAAAGTTGCCACCTTTTCTCAAAACACTGATATAGGTAAGATTCAGAAAAGAAAGTATTGGCATAGTTTTACCTTTGAGATGATCTTCAGCAATGACGTCATGTCAGTAGTATCCCCGTAGTGCAAATGGAGGTCTAGCCGTGAAACAAAAGTAAATTAAGGCACTCACGATTTAGAAAAACACTGTTAGAGGAAAATAAGCAACAAATCCGATACGAATGAGTATAATAAAATAAGTGCATAGCCATTTAAAATGCATTTTCCTAGTAGTTATATCCTATTCACAAGCCTCTTTTCGATGTCCCAGGTTTAAAGGTCATGCCAAAGGTTGCTGAGGGGCATGGCTACCCACTGTTTTGCAATGAAACAAAGTTTCTTGCAAAATCTTTTGCTGTGAATCTTGGATTTGTTGTTGATTTTGAAATGCCCTGGCCAACGTGTTCCAGGCAGACGTTCTGGCAATTTTTTCTGTGGAGCACCCAAGCATTGCCAAGTTTTTGCTTAGCAGCAAACGGGTTTTTTGAGAGCAGGACACTATCTTGAGTCCTAAATGGGTAACAAGAGACTCCGATAACCAATTTTTTTCCCGCTAGTATTAGCTTCACTCAAATTGTCACGAGAATCCGATGAAAACGACGAAAAATCAAATTAGAGACAAAACTCTCGAGGTGGCAAACAGCTGGTTTAAAGTTGCTCCAGGGGCGGCATTGCAACCCCATTCCATCCCTTGGCTACGGGCCTGTTCCATTGCTCATTTCATTTTCTTTTAGGACCCTTGTTAAGAGTCTAAATAGCAATTATATTTGTTTTTTCTTAACCTCTATGTAGCTGCTGTTGTGAGCTTTACCAGCAAATCAATGGCCTAAAGAGGGTCCTTGACTAGTTTTGAATTGCTGGTGTTGTAATTGTCACAGAAACTGAGAAGTACTACTGTTTTATATTTTATTCACAGTTAATATTTTAGGATGCTGAGTTGAATTAAGCTGCTTTTTGCTGACTGTGGAGTAGATTTCAGAGTTGATGCTATTGTTAAGGAACGATGGGCTTAGCCAGATCCCTTTAGAAAAAATTAAGACTATAGCCAGCCAATTTAGAAGCAATGTGCTATTATTAAGCAGAGTAATCATTGCGGATGCAACTGTGCCAATTGCATTCATTCATAAGCGATTTTGCATTAATGGGTGCAACATTTAAACTTTTTTGCGTGCTCTATTAATGCTTAGGTTACAAGCATTATATCAAAGGTTGCTTGACTCAAATATGTTAATCGATTTTTTTATTCTAACGTTGTTGAACTGAAGTGTCAATATAAACTGCTCAAATGATTTTTGCGAAAACTGTGCATACCTCCTCCTTGATGATTCACGCGATCTTTGTGAAGATGTTCAATCCTAGCAGTATTAAATGAGCTTGATCTTCTAATGATACCATGGACCTAGAAATAAAGTTGCAAAACTTCACATAAGTCATCGAAATTTAAAGATATGCTCACTTAATTTTCAACTTTTTTATATTCATTTATCGAGAACTTGTTGACAGCTAATTTTATTAATACCAGTTTAAGCAAGCCTTTAGTTGAGGAAACTTCATTTCTTTAAAGTTTAATGCAAAGCTTCTAAAATAAATTATTGTTATGCTATTCTCTCTTTGTTTTATTATTAAAATTGCAATTATCTGTTGCGATTCCTCAAGCATATTGCCATGACATAATGAAAAATGGCTTTGAAAGAGCAAACATTTTGAAACTTTCTATAGCTTTCTGTGTCTCACACTCTAAAGAGCATAAAACGTCAGAACATAGATGGACAATTTTAGGCTATAGTCTGAAGTGTTCCGGAGACAAATTTTAGCATGTTTCATTCCATAATGTTTTCTGTTTTCATAGCCCTTTTTAACTTTCTACAACTAAAAGGCTGTATCAATAATGAGAACAAACCTCATAATCCTTCTCTAGAAGAAGCTCCGCAAGATAAGAACCATCCTTAAAAAATTGCAGTTAAAAACATGAGAAGAAAACATCATTGCAGGTGATGCATAAAAATCATTGTTAAAATTCATTGTAGAGACAGAAGCAATTGTCAGAAGAAATGGAATAAAACATATAGAGCCTATTAAAGGGAATAAAAATTATCATCGAACATCAGAAACGTATCGTTACTAATACATCAATCTATTTTTTTTGCCAATGCTAATCTTGCATCAGAGTCATAAAACCCCTGTTCTCTGTATTTTAAAAATGGCCTTCTGAAATATTGGTTTCAGTGGCAGAATATTGTGGTTACGCTAGATGAATTTTTCAAAGGTAGGACATGTTAGAGAAGTGGGGAATGCTTTGAAATAACTTAGTAATCGTGACATATAACTTTGAAACCGTTAAACTGCATATATCAAAGTGTAAAACTCTATTAGTATCTCCTCTTATCATTATATGAACTGCAAAAATGCAATAGAAACATACCTGCCCTGTAATTCCAGTTATAAGCGCAATTTTTCTTCTGCTTTGTCCCTGTCTCTCGTCGTTAACTGCTGCCATTTTAATAAAAGTGACTGTGGTAGGACTTCTGTTTGAAATTGAGAAAATTAATTTTCTAATAGGGTATGATGAAAACTCTTCTAGGCGCGTATATTTTACGACTATTACACTCTAATCGCCTATTTTCAGCTTGATTGACATTTAGATGGGTAAGGGCGTAAACTCACGGGTGGCAAAAATTTGAAGAAGTGCAAAAGAAGTCGCACAAAAAAGCAGGTGAATGTTGGGTATGTTGAAGCAAGGCGCAAACCGTATAGGTACGAACTACAAATAACTATGCAATGAATCTCTTTTTCACACACTTTTGTTAACGCCAAGTAAGAGGAATGTGAATTCCAAAGATTTATTAATTTTTTCCCCGGACTTTTAAGAACATATTTTTGTTGTATGTATAGCGAAGGTAATATAAAAAGACCTTAATTCTAATCCTTCCTGCCATTCATTCTAGTATTTTTTATAAGAATGTTTATTCTCGAAAAATCTTTAAAGACCCTAAAAGTATAGAATGAAGAGGTCCTCAAAGATGTGAGATTTGGTCATAAACGAGATGCCTCTTTCCATCAGACTACAAACATATAACAGACTACTTTCTATCAAGCAATTTGGCTTCAGAGCAAAATTGTCAGCAAAACTAGCAGCAACACTACTGTTAGATGATATCAGGAAAATCGTGGACAAAGGGCAACTAGTCGGCGCTGTGTTAGTTGATCTTAGTAAGGCCTTTGACACCATCAGCCACTCCAAATTGGTGACATCATATGGCATTGACGGCAAAGAATTTACCTGGTTTGAGGACTACTTGTTTAATTGGTCAGCATAAGTGAGCTACAACGACGTCCTATCAGAAGCTCAGCATTTAAAATCTGGTGTTCCACAGGGCTCAATCCTTGGACATCTACTCTTTGATTTATTCTTTAACGGCATAACCGATGTAATTGAGACCAACATTGTCAAATATGCTGATGATACGGTTATCTATTGGGCGGATAAGGATGTTACAAATCTGAGCAAAATCCTTACAAATGAAATGAAAAACCTTGAAAAATGGATGGATGAGAATAAACTCATTTTAAATGTGAGAAAAGGAAAAACAGAAGTGTTGGTTTTTGTGACTGCCCAGCGTCTGAAGCGACAGAGTGAAGAAGTATGTATTCGATACAAAGAGACAAAAATCAATACTACTGCTTCGTATAGATATTTGGGAGTGGAAATCGATTCAACTTTAAATCTAAGCACCAATTTTGAACTATGCTACAAACGAGCTTCTGGCAGATTACGTACTATCGAAACTAAGATGTTTCTTGGACAGCACAACGGCTTGTAAACTTTATCGCTCTATGATTGTACCTATTGTTACATATTGTGGGATTCTAAACCTGAAACCAACAACTGTTCAGTCGAGAAAGTTAGATGCTCTTCATGAACGTGTCATGAGAATTATTGGCGGGGGCTCGAAGGAATGCAGTGTTCTGTCACCTGAAAAATTTAACATGAAACGAGCTTGTGTCCTGGTGCATAACATCTTCAATAATGTTATATGTGCTGCCTTGCAGAGTCACATCACAACACATGCACACATCAAGACCACAAGAAACAACAAATGCATAGCTACTTTGCCACGGATAAAAACTGAATATGTGCGAAAGGGATTTCATTACATGGAGGCAAAGTTATGCAACAATTTACCTATAGACGTAAGAACTGCCCTCATCAAACCCCTCAACTGTCCTTTAATGTTTTTGCGGCAAACTTTTGCTTTTAGGGAATCAGCCCTCGTCTTGCCCAGGGGCGTCGTGGCTAGTGACTCTTAAAGGGGGAGCAGCTTGCAAATTTTTCGACAATGGGTTTAAATAATAGCTATGACGCCATCTAGCGCATGCGCAGTCTTTTTAATGCAGAAAGACATGGCAAACAATATTTATCTTTTGCAGCGTCACTTTTACTGATTTCAATAAGTCGGAAAGAGAAAAGCCAGCGTCCGTACTCGAACGTTGGATAATCATAATCATTGGTAATCTGTAAAATGAATAACCACGAGGTTTACTGTCTCCAGAAAGTTTTTTTCTGTTTATATCTTCCTTCTTATATTGATTAGTTCCTTTCAACTTTCTAGCTTTCCTATGAGCTAGAAATATTCTTTTGCAGATGCGAAATTTCCGACAAATTGCCGAATTGTCGGTGACAGGGAGGGGGGGGGGGAGATCACGCGAATCGATGTTTGATATAGGGAAAAACTGCCTTAGTCTTTTACCCCGCCAATCAGCCTGATACATCTGTCACAATAGAATGACGTGTGAAAGAAGTGACGCAAGAGGAGGCAGAAAGAAGTATTTAACGGGATATAGGCAGAAGGAGAAACGAGTACAAGGGGACAGGGGTGGGAGGAGAAATCGCATACAACATGGCGTGACGTGCTGCAACGCTAGAGCAAGGCCTCATAGTAAACACAACGAGGCAATTTGCATAGTAATAAATGAGAATAATGATAGCCTTCCAAGGAGAAAAATCACAATTATGTTAACTTATTGCAATTGTATAGTAATTGTAGTAATATAGTAATTGTGTTGGTGATGGGCTATTTCGGCCTACAAACCTTATTGTATTGTATTGTGAAATATCCTCAATTAGAAAAATCACAAAAGGAAGGCAAGGTTAGCGTGGAAATGCCATCACTTTAAGAGAGAAAAGTAAAGCAATTATCACTATTATGACGTTAGAATTGTAAAATGCATCTGTGGCATAGGGTAGTCCCTTCAGTCACAAGTCCGCTAATTAACCTATGTATATCAAGTCACCTCACGCTATGTAGTATCTCTCATAGACGACAAATTTCAATTTCAACATATAAGTTTTTATTGTTAAGAAATAGCTCTCTTTTGAATAAAGACAGATATACCTTTCTTCTGAATGTAGAAAAGATGTTGCTTTTCTGGAAGCTGCCAGGAGAAAATTCCAAGGGGGATCTCAAACCCCGATCCCCCAAATTATATTGTTCTTTAAATAAAAACACTTACAGGTTGATCTGAAACATTTCAGACCACGAGGACGCAGAAGTATGGACTTTTAAACTGAGTTTATGAAAAAAATCGGATATTGTATAAGAATGAATGAATGGTATAAGCAATTTGTTTCACTTTTACACGTAAAGCATACTAAACCTTTTCAAAACACAATACTTTGCTGTCTTTCAACGGCCTACGCTTCTCTCAAACTAGTTATTTTATACACTCTTTTCATAAGAACCTACTGTAGTAGACTGAATTTCAGGCTGGACCGTTCTGGTTTGCTCTTATTTTATTAGGGTGAAAGCAGTGCAATTGCCAACTAGTGTGCTCTAGTGGGTGTTCAGGCTTTAAAGTGAGTGAGGCATCCTTAATTTGTCTGCAAGTTTCGAGACGAAATTTTCAAGGGGTTTCACAAGATTGTTCAAAATCACACTTTTCTGTAGCTCAGCCTCTGGTTGTTCTTAATTTGTTCTTAATTTTTGACAAATTTTGAAGCTCGTGTTTTTATAAAATTGTTCTTATGAAAACGAGTCTATTTGAACATTGTTATCGACTCAAAAGGGGCTACTTACACACCTTATATATATAAATACACACTAATTGTCACAATATTGAATCAAATGCACATTGAAAAGGTGTTACCTGATAGGTCTCAAGCTATGGTCTCTTTTGCTCTTCCCACCGGCAGTAAGTTGCAAGTCAGCGAACGAATCAACGCAATTCTCATCCATTACACCTTGAAAGTATGCTCGCCTCACCTTCTCTAAAACATCGATTGTCAGCAAATTAATTCCATTTACAGAGTCGAACTGTTCATTTTTAAGAGCATCTTTTAGGCTCGACAGCAAATTCTTACACTCATCCATCTGGTTCACGGAGGAGAACGATATACGACCGTGACGGATGACAAGCGAATGGATGCTATAAACTTAGCATTTAGTATCCTAGTCGTTTATTGGCTATTTTGACCGGTGCTCTGATGGCGTTGAGCACCGGGAAAGATGCAAGTGATTGGCTAATGCTAGATTTGAGCACCGGTCAGAAAAAAGATGATTGGCTAGCTCCATTCTTGAGGACTCTATTCTACTGACCCACCGGTGCTCGGAATACAACCGGATAATAAAATTTCATTGGAGGATGAAATTCGCAATTCGTATCGTTACTGTTCAGCATTTGAATTCTGACAGAATCTGGTTTCGGTAAATATTCTACTTTCGATAACAAACCATAGCGCGGCAAAACAAAACCTTTGAGATAGTAATTTGGAATTTTAATGTAATTTCTTGTAATTTAATCTAATTTCTTATTGGTAGAAAACGTGTGCTTTATTTTGCGATATATATTTAGCTTGACTTAAGCGCACATTAACCTTGGTCAGAAAAAACTCTGAAAATATGACCGGTGCTTAAGCACCCTTTGCATCCCTTTGGATCCGCCACTGCAACACTGCTAAGCAGTTAGGGTCAATCCAGGGCTGTAGAGAAAGGGGCTCAGAGGGGCTCAACTCCCTTCTACTTTTCGAAGGGGAGCTGTGCCCCCTCCTATTTTTCTAAAATATCATGGCTTATTTCTCCCAAGATCAAATCTTCGTTGGAACCGATAATAATTTTTGACATTTGTATTCATGTGTGACCTATTTGATATCTGGAAAATGAAAATTTTGCAACATTGAATTCTTTATTTTTAAGATTTTTCTACTCAAGTAACTGGAAGATGATTTAACTCTGGAAAATATGGAAAGGTAAAGAAATTGATATTGAGGAGCCATGCAAACGAAAACAACTGAAATTTTCATTTTTTAGACAATATAGAGAAAGCTATGTTCCAATGTTTGACTTTTTTTGGGGGGGGTGTACTTTTCCCGGCTGGAACTAGCCCGTGTTATAGCTAGCATAGGTGGCAGCAGCTTGTTCACTGGGAAGGAGCATTTGTGAAACAGGAAGTAAACAGGATTCTAGGAAATCTCGTTTTGAAGCAGTAAGCCTCATTGGTTCGAAGATCATCCATCATATGTTTCCACCGCCACTTTCGCTTCCACCGCATGCTGATGACTCAGCAGAAGAAAAAGAAAACACATGGATGTCGTTATGGTGCTTTCGAGTGTTATCCTGTTTTTCTGCCTGTGCAAGGTTTCAGTTATCTGCGAAGCTACCTTTACGATCAGAGTCAGTAAGAATGGAAAAGACATCTCTGAATGCAGAAACGTCTACAACGATAGCAAACTGCCATGTCTTACACTCGACTACGCTTTGCAAGGCGGCAAAGGCCTATTGAGCAACACAAAATTGCTTCTTGACCCTGGGAACTTTTTACTACAAAATGACACGGAGTTTCAATCCAAGGAAAATATTAGCTTTTTTGGTGGTTCATCTTACGAGAAGAACACGATCACATGTTCATCTGAGAATGTTGGATTGAGTTTTTTACGTTGCCGTGGAGTTACGATTCGAGGTCTAACGTTCAAGAATTGTGGAAGGAAGCGACAAGACACTTCCCATAATAAAATGATTTATTCGGGAATTCATTTCGTCTTTTCCAAAGATATCAACATATCGAGTTCTCTCATTACTGAAAGCCGCGGAACTGGAATAACAATGCTAGATGTTGGTGGCTTTGTTTTTGTTGAAAACGTTGATATTCTCAGAAATACATTCAACGATAATGGAGGCGGTGCCTTTATAGCCATGACGACCTGTGGTGCTTTGGACTTAGTCAACTGCACATTTCATAAAGAACAACAGAAATACATCCACAACGCCAAATTTACATTTAGATCTGTGAAATTTTCAGGCAATATCGATAAAACTAATATTTCGAATTTGTTCGAGGAAACCCAGCTTCCGCAATCATTTCTCGGTAAAGGTGGTGGACTAACAATTCATCTCAACGGTAATGCTTCGCAAAACCAGTTTTCGTTTGCTTTGTGTTCATTTTATGGCAATGAAGCAAACTGGGGAGGGGGACTGTATATTGGGGTCAGTGATGAAGCACAGAATAACAATGTAACAATGTTGCCTGGTCTGACATTTTGGAAGAATAAAGCCACTTATGGTGGTGGGGCTGTGCAGATCACCTTGCTTCATGCAAAAGTTTTGGCTGCATGGAAAGAAAATTTTGTTTTGTTTACTTCTTCATACTTTGGGCTTAACAATGCAGTTTGGGGTGGAGCAGTGTCAATCAAAGCTAACACTAGAATGATGGGAAACATAGAGAAAGAGGTCTCGAAGTCAATTATCTTCCAATCTTGTTCGTTTTACTTTAACAAAGCAACTGTTGGATCAGCAATTGCAATGGCAACAAAAAATTTGAATGTTTATACTGTGGGTCCTGGAGTCCCTTATGCATTGTCTCTAAACAATTCTTTTATTACTTTAAATGAAATTATCACAACTGAGGACAAGAAAGTAATCGGCCAAGGGGCAATATATGCTGAACAGTTCACAGTGCATGTGGAATCAACACCATTTAGAAACAACACTGGGACTGCATTGGTATTAGATTCATCTTCACTGATGGTCCATGGCCAGGTTAATTTTTTGTTTAATCAGGGTATAAAAGGTGGCGCTGTTGCATTGTATGGAAATTCTTGGATACAACTAACCAGCAACTCAGAGCTCATTTTCCAGGAGAATAGGGCATACATAAAGGGTGGGGCAATATATTTCAAATCATCAGGACCATCCAGGTTGGGTTTCACATCAACAAAGTTAGCCACATCACGGTGTTTCTTCCGTTATGAAAAGCAAGTAGAGCTAGATCCATCAGCCTGGAACTGCAAGGTAAGATTCATTAACAACACAGCTCCAGATGCAACAGGAAGTTCCATATTTGCCAGTACGTTAGAAATGTGCCGCCAGGCTGGAGAGCCTAGGATGAATAATACAGCTTTTGAGTGGCCTAATGTTTTTGAGTATAGTAATAAACCAGATGTAAATTCACCTGAAATTGTGACAGAGGCAATACAGCTTTTCAATAACAGAGCAGAGTGGAATGCACAGCCATCAATTCCTTTCACAGCAAGTGTGACATTGCTAGATGAAAAAGGAAACAGTGTTTATGGAACAGTGAAAGTTAATATTACATCAGATGAGGATCCTAAAATTCATTTGGATCCACCAAACAATGTTTTTCTTATTAAGGATGCCATGCATGATATTAGGCTGGTTGGCAGTGTTGGAAAGCCATTTAATATGAGTTTTATAACCACAGATGGACAGTTGATAGAAACCAATGTTGTGAGACAGTCACTGAATTATTGTCCACCAGGGTACAAACAAGATGATAAAAGCACTGTTTGCACCTGCATGGAAGCAGAAAAAGCCATAACCCGCTGTGAAAATTATACAGCATACTTGCTAAGAGGTTACTGGGGTCACATAGGAAATAATCATGTCTTTGAAGCCTTCAAATGCCCAAAGCACTACTGTACATGTGACATAAGTACTCCTAGCATCCCATATGAATGCCCTTACCCCATGATAAAATGTGCAAAGAACAGGGAAGGTGTACTTTGTGGTAAATGCAAGGCAGGCATGAGTGTCAAACTAGGAGATGAGATTTGTGATTATTGCAGCAACCTTTATCTACTCCTACTCATTCCAATTGTGTTGATAGCTTCTCTGTTTGTTTTGTTTGTCTTTTACTTTAATATTGATGCATTTTCTGGCTATCTAAATGCATTCCTTTATTCTTATCAATCAATTGATACTGTTATACCAGAAACGGTAACTTTAGACCCATTCATCAGTTGTGTTATTGGCTTAATGTGCTTGTCCGGAACTGGGAACTCGTTTGGTTTGTGTCTATGGGATGGTTTCAATGATCTTCATAAGCTTGGTTTCAATCTGGCAGTTCCATTGTTTATTTTACTTTTCACAATTCTTGTTGGCACATGTCTGTCAGGAGAGCTGTTCCGTAAAATATTTGGTAACTCTCTACGATCAAAATCATTTGGAAGAGCACTGAGTTTTGTATACACATACTGTTACACAGCCTTGACAAGCAAAGCTTTACTGTTGCTGAATCCAGTAACTATTGAAAACCAAACAGTTGTTTTTGCAGCTCCAGAGTTTAAGTACTTTGGAAAGGAACACACAGCTTATGCAGTTGCAGCTATAATTGTTCTTCTGGTATTCACAGTTGGGTTTCCTGTCATCTTACTCTTTACGCCATTTTTCACCAAAAAATTCCAGTGGCTTTTACGTATGGAGCCTGCATTTGATGTTTTGAAGCTTTGCTTTAAGAATCCATTAAATAGTAGAAACAAGTCGGATTGTCGCTCATTTGCTGCATTTTACTTCATATGTCGCCTTGTTGTCCTGCTTTTTGATATATTCGTGAAGGATGAGACGCCACGTCTTGTCCTCATTGCCCTGTCAAGTGTCTGTTTCCAGGTAATCTTCACCTGGTTCCAACCCTACGTAGTATGGACACTGAATTTTTGGGATGTGATTTTGTTAACCAACATGTGTTTTGTGAGCTTGGTTAGTATTATACTGAGTGTGCCATACATTCTTTATGATGTTTATCGTCAAATTCTGGTGTATGTTCTAAAGATCCTGGTATACATCCCCTTGCTCATCATTATTGCGAGACTTTTCGTGTACAGTCGAAGCAAAATAAATCGATGCAAAAGGAGAAGCTCAACAATACTGGAAGGTAAGTTAAATTTAGTTCATTTCTAACAAATTTTTACTGACTGGGGTATCAAGAAAAATATGATTTCGTAAGATTATAATTGCTATCTGATACTATTCAGTTACGTTAACTACCATCACGGCTTGACAGTGTTACATGTTAGACGCAGTTGTGATTTATTTTCTTTATCTAGATATTGTTCTATGCATTTTTCGTATTTCTAAGCACTCAGTTTTAATTGAAGTCAATCGATATTTTGGAGCTCTTTTCACCTCTGAAATTTCGGGATCAATAGAGTTTTCTTCAGCAAATATAACAGATAATTTTTCTATTTTAGATGAAGTCAGCATTGGTGGAAAGAAATCAAGGCTACGGGTGCCGTTTTTGGGAAGAAGACGAAAAAAAAAATTCTTGTAAGAATTTTGACCGTTTACCTGGAGCGCTTACTGAAGAAATACAAGGGGCATTGATATAGGCTTTTTTATTTGCCAGTAGAAGATGGGTACTAAAACATTTTTATCTCATCAAGAAGGTTCCATTGCCTCCTTCGTTCGCCACTGATAGCCAAAGCGAGGCAATATATGAAAGTTATGCCTTCGTGAACATCATCATGCTTATAATGATAATCCTTCTAGGGGATTATTTAAACAAAATTGGAGTTAAAGACCCAGTAAGACTTAGTGATCTGTCACAAAAATCTTATTGCGAAAACATTAAGAAAGCGTTATAGAAAAATATTTTACTTTTTTTTGACATTTTTATGACCGTATACTATATTGTTCGAAGAAACACAGGAAAAAGTGATGGAATTTCTAAGGAATTTAGAGTACTAAAATTTGACCGCCAGTTAAGGACTTTTCAGTACTGAACTTCAGCCAAACTTCCTTATAAAAAATGTTTGATTTACGTTCCCAACTCTCATTTCCTGCAAACCTGTTTAGTTATGCTGTATCATTTACATATGATCGATTTGATTTTGTAGACATTCCAAGGCGGTTACACGAGGACGAGCCAAGTGAATTGTCTGAGGTGGGTGCCTACTTTCAAAGAGATAACGCTGTTGATGTAGATATATGAAGTGAAGAAACACGATTAAAACATCAATCACGAATTCGTGTATTTTTATCCGCCGTTTGTTATTATCAGCCGTATAGATTTATTGTAAATTTTACACGATCTTCGTCAATTTGATTTCGAATGAGATAGCTAGATGATAAATCAAGTTAATTTTGTTGATTGTTTGATTCAAGCGTGATGACGTATATTTTAAAGCAGATACATTGTAGATAGTTTCTATATCCATGTTAATCAGAGAATTTGATTTATCCTATTTCAAAACTGAATTTTAAAATCTATATGCTCTCATTTGATAATAAATATTTTGTAATTACTTGCTAAAAAAAATTTATGCTTTTGCTTAACGCAGATATATAAAACACAACCCAAGCCTTTACAAAGTGACCTTACGAAGTCATACATTCAGTTTGGGTTTTCGTCTTCTATCGTTCCCCTCCCACCTTCAAAAGACATTTCCTCATAAGTTCTGTAAAACTCTTGAATTATCGATCTTTCTCAACCGACGGTAGATTGTTCTAAAATGCTTTCCAGGGTTATACAAACAAGCCGTCATGATGGTGGAAAGAAGTGCCTTGCCGATCTAAAATATTGTGCGAATGAAGATTCAACTTCTATAAGAGATTTTCTTTGAGACAAGCTTTTTCTTTTAGCGAAAACTAGACCGTTACGGGTTCTATCTTGACTGTAAACACTAAAAAGGACCTCAATTCGAAGATTAGGTTGTCGATTTTCGTTTCCAGCTGCAATCTATCTAGTATTGACGATGGCAATTCGAAATATCAATGCAATATGAGCTAATGTATCAAATATCCATGAAATATTTTTCAGTTATAACAAGGATAGAACAGATGGGCTTGATTATTACCCACCAGGCCTCTTTTGTTCTAAGTCCAAAATTTATTCATAAGGAGTTTTCTATTAACATACATCTTCGGCTAATGAATTGGAAATCGAGGCGTTAAATTGAGATATGATCCTAACTAAACACACACAAGAAGATTCGTTTAATGGATGTTGTATATTCTGTATTATGTTGTTAGTAAGTTGGGCCCAGCGTCAAAGGTTGCTTTGATTTTGGCTTTTCAATAGGTTTTGATTGATTGGGTCGGTAAATAAAGTAAGGATAGTTCTATAGAGTCCTAGAAACCCACCTAATTGCCACAAAAACGAAAAATCGCAACATTTCGTACAAATATCGTATGTAATCCTTCAACTATGCTTCACGTAGCATCCAATCCATCAAATCGGGGATTCACTCCCATATAATACCTCTATAACGCGTCTATAACATCCCCGTCCTTAATAACCAATGCTAGAATTCCAAACGTTTACGTGCTACACACGTATTCGTATGAGCTCTTCTAGTTAAAGACGAATTCTTCAAGACTTCTTTTTTCAAACTCCATACTAAAGCCAACTGTTATCATGGCTGTTACTTCTATTATTCTAATAAAAACAACGTTTATTCCACTCAGGCTGCGACCACGTCGAGAGGCTTTCCTTCTTGATCCGTGCTTCGATGTACAGATCGTCTTCACTACTAACCGAAATTGCTAACAAAACACTGGAATAATCAGTAGGTACTCTTTTTATCTAACCAATTCCTTCCATAAACAGTCAGTCTATTGGCAACTTTTTCCATAAATGATCAGTTTATCGGACAATTGAGGTTGTACTTGCCAGTGGTTGCGCCAGCCACTAAGCTGGGGAGGGGAGGGGAGCTCGGGTCAAAATTTACGGCGACGATCTTTTTACTGTAAGAAACCGCGCTTTAACCAACATTTAGAAATTGAACTTCACTACTAAATCAATGGGTGGATAAAAAACGACATTATTGAAACTTGAATCGCTGGAAAGGAACATTATCATGGCTTAGAATGCCAATGCCGTTTTATATATATATGTTTTGAAATATTGACTCAACAAAGAGTAAAGTACAATATTCGTTTGTTCTTTGAACATTCAACAGCTGAAGCTCCTATTTCTTGGCAATGTAAGTGGGAGTGAAAAGGGTCAGCCATCGTTTAATAATGTGTAAAGATGAAGCGTAGCCTTGTTCTATAACCATATAATAGGTTCTGGGAGCCTGAGGCTTGACTCTTCTTTCCATTTTCTATGCACTTCTCAAGCTCCTGCAAGTGATGTGATGTGAACAATTGCCAACGGGAAAATAGTTTGGCAGTATTTATAGGTTTAATGAATTCCCTTTTATCCTAAAATTCTACTTTGGTCAAAAGACTTTGAAGCTGGCAATGTGTCATATCTGCCTATTTTTAGGAAGGACGAATGCTAGCCCCTACCGCTGCACCCTTTTAATCCATATGTCTTTTCTGTTATTGTTTCCAAATTTCCGTTTGCGAAATAGACTTCATGAGCCTTGGGAACTCACTACGGGGCAAAGTAGCCTTATCCTAATTCTAACGTACAATTCGCAGAGAAGGACAATTTTTAGTTTATACATTATATTTTATACGTAAATACAAATTTAAATGAGCAATTTATTTTGAAAATGTAGTTATGTTTTGATACTGAGAAGTTTACGATTAAACAATTTTCGTGCTTATTCTTACTTTCTTACTGCCCAAGACTAGAATTTCTTTTATCCTAGAATTTCTGGACTTCTATCTTCATTGGAAACCATAGACGTAGAAAAAAATTCAAAAGTAGGTAAGGAGGCATAAGTAGGTAAAGAAGGAACTTCTATCAGCTACAAATAGGTACTTTAGCTGTTTCTGAAAAATTGGAGGCACGTGCCCCTATGCCCCTGGTACCTACGTCTATGTTGGCAACCCTCGATATTCCGTCAGCTATACAGTGCCCTGTTATTTACCCTTGTTTGAATGAAGGTCCTCACTGCCGACAGCAATAGATAGAAATGTGTGTTAAAACGTCACACCACAGATAAGATTTTGTAGCACACAGCTGCTGAGCAACGAAAAGCAATTGTAGAGTGTGTGTAATGTAGCAAAAGCTGAGTTTATTTTTACTGCCAGGATGAAAAATCCGAGAAATTAAATCACTTCTCCTGGCAATATGTTGTTAAGTTCACATGTCTTGAAACGACTGCGAAATGATTTTTTGTACAAGGACTGTCGTACAGAAAAGGTGGGACACATCCACCTTCTTAACTAAGGGCAACTATCCCAAGACCAGGTGGGGCTTCCTACTACCAGCGAATGTCGTAAAGCGTATTTGGTCCAAAGGTAATATGTATGCCCTGTAGGTAAAAGCCAAAAGAAAATAGAGTGAAATAAATTTGCTTTTCATAACAACGAAAAGATAAAAAGTCCATAAATAAACCTTTTCTGATTAAAACTGTGTCAGCAACTTAGGTTTGGATCATGAAATGTAACCCAAAATCTACATGGCTGTTTTACGATGTAACAAATAGAGATAAGGAGATACTTGAAAGACACCTGTGTAAAGGATCTCTGATGTGAAGCGATGGGACGGGATCGATTGCTGGTTTATTAGTTAAAGAGCTATATGGATAGTGAGTACATGATCTCCCACGTTAGCTTTCACAGGTTTAGAACATTGAAATCAGTATTAAATAGTTTAGTAACATTGATATAATGCAAATTTATTCTATAAATCTTACACGAGTATCAAGTGCAATGTAAAATTATAATCAACCTATTCAATACGTCAAACTATGCATGTCTCGGCCAAAACATGTCACTCTGTTTTACATCGAAAATCCCAACTATTTAATGTAAAACCGACTTTGTGCTATGATAAGAACGTTTAAATTCGGCACTTTCGGCATTTTGCCTTAGACCATGGGAATACGACCTAACATGTAACTGGTGTAAATCCCAGAAGAGGAGACGGTCTCGATTTATATTGGTCGCATTATTTGAAAAATTTGACTAGTAGCAAAGTGCATTGTCACCGCAATTGAATCCGCAATTAAAAAAACTGGCCTAACATTTAAAACAGGAAATATAGCGATAAAAGATGGCACGGGAAAATAACACTTAAGACAACTTGCCTTAGAAATTTTCAAGGAGATCCTAACAAGACAATCTCCACCTCCACAGCGTCCGCAACTATACTGCCGGTCTCATATTCCCAATAATAAAACTACCCATTATTACAATACATTAATCTTCACGATGACAATTATTAGTATTAGTATTATCACGTAATGCCTTATTTTACACCATATACACACTGATAAAATATATGCGAATAGAGCAAGTTTGCTGTACCACGGGACATTGGTATGGGTATATGCTTCAAGACAAAATGTTGGCACCTTAGTGATATTTTCGCCTCCTCTGCGGCTTATCTTAAGTCTTTCCTTTAACTTTTATAGTTTAAACAAATATCGTAATGGAATGGGAAGATACGTTCGATATGATTCCCCTTTATTAATTCAAATATGTAAAATTTCTGCTCATGTAAACGATTTTCGCCACGGCGCAATTCCTAGCTTATAGCAACAAACGGAAGTAGAATACATAAACCGAAAATAATAACGAAATATATAGACTGCAATCTTAATCGGAAAATTGAGGCAAGACTAGAAATCCCACTTTTTTTAAAAATATGCGAGTTCGTTGCTTACTAAAATAAATTGTTGGCAAGATTATCCCTAAATTCTGGGGAGAATTTTTTGAATTCAAAATTGGTTGTTAGTGGAATTGATTTTCAAAAACCAAATGTAGCCCTTGTAGTGATCCCCCCCCCCCCCCCCAACTAAGTTCATCGTAATATTTGATATTGATATGATTAAAAAGGCTTTTATTGCACAAAGTTAGTGTGGAGATGCTGCAACTGGTTTACATCTAATAAGTTGCAAATATTACTAGGGTCGTTATAGTAAAAAATCAGACATAATCCCGTATGTTATAATTTGGCATCGGGGAAAAGGTAATAAAGAAAGCTGTAGAGAACAAATTGCCCTACATTTCTCTACAAATATACCCACAAACTTGCTTCAACGAACAGTAATATTGGGAGACAGAAATATACGAAGACACACAAGTTTTATCAAAATAAATAGTATAAAAACGGTTACTTTAGTTCTGCTTTAGCTTCCTCTTGGTCCTGTAATTTCTGCCACCTGACAATATTCTCACGAATGACATCACAGATTGAGGACACGGGAGGCAGAATTGTGGAAAGTAGCCTATATAGTGTACAAAAGTAGTTAAAAGTGCGTGGAAACATGTTGCCTGACTGTGTGAGAAAGGATAATGAACGGAGGGCTTGCACCTTCCAGCATTTACCTGCCACGTAAAAACGCGGGCCCAACGTAAAAACGCGGGCCCAATGTAAAACTAAATTTAATAAAATTTAAGTAACCTTACAAACCAAGAAATCTTAAAAAAGCTCCTCATAGCTTAAAAACATACAAATAATTTCTGAACAAATCAATTCTTCAAATGGTGCCCGACAAAAACTGTCAGCCGACCATTAAAATCAGTAGCCTCGCATTAAAATGGCCTCTCACTGAACAAGAAATCTTCAGGATCGGCCTTCGAACAGCCTTTCAATCAAAAGACCTTCAAAAGCTTCTAACAATATGGTTTTCTTCAGGTAAAAAGACATCTTCAAACAGAATTAAGCTAAGAGCTGTACTCTACCTGTAGACGGGCAGTGCCACTTTAGAGCCAAACTCGACTTGCAATTTTGGAATACTCGCTTTCTCTCTGTCCATCATCTCCTTTGGTGTATAGCCAAGAGATTTTTCCTACGACAGGGCAAAGCAGTATAGAGCTTTCAATCAAATGAAAAGGTTCTACTTTAACGACATTTTATATTTGCTCTAGTACCTGACAGATTTTGGTCTCATGAGGCAGAAGATACATCAGCAATAGGGGGTAATTACTGATCTTCAAAAAACCTTCTGATCTCGCCTTGCTTGGTTAACTATTTAGAACATTTGCTCATCCAATAAAACTTTTTTGGACGGTTTTAAGTAGAGGAAATTGTCGGGAGGGGGGGAGCTAAAGCCCACGTAGGTTCCCCCCGCTTTCGCGGTCCCTGATATAACGTGTGCCTCGACAATAGGTTTCAAAGTTTTGCAGTAATTTAAAGAGAAAAAGAACGGAATAATAAATACTCGGCTAGTTGGATGTGCTACTTGACGTAAAGCTACAAAATCAATTCATTATTGCTGTTTCTAATCTAAACCAGAATCCGAAAGTGAACGGGTTTTACCTCTAGCATAACTTGTACATCATTTGGTGGCTTTTTCTACAGACAAATATCTAATCGTAATGTTAAATGATTTCCATCAATTAGTTGGCCTTATTTTAGTATAAAAAGAGGAAAAAGCTGTTGTTGACTTATCAAGTAATAGTTTTTGCCTCTCTTTTCAAGCCAATGCTCCCTGTCCTACTGGGTTTGCATTGAGATAAAAAGTTTTGAGTAACCTACCATATCTCCTTGGTTAAAGAATTCAGCATAAAGCAAGTCAGAAACTTTGTATGCTCCTTCCCATGGTTTTGTTTGGTCCGACAAATCACATGACGTCATCATTAACAGGCAAGCATGCGGTGATGTCGTTTGTTTCCTTTGTTAAAACCGGCTGATGATAAAAATCGGGAAAACGCATCAACTTACTGACTGAACTGCAGCAGAGCCTTGTGGCAATACATTTCTGTTTACGTGTTTACAGGGCGAATAATCTTAAAGCTTCTTAGATCTTTCAGATTAGGCAACTGTTTTAACATCTCGCTGGGTAGAAGTTCATTGCAAATGCTTATCTCGAGTTCATCTAGAGATATGGTCTCAAAAATCTGAAATAAGATGCAACAACCGCTTGTAGCCTTGGTACGTTATAATGATACAATTCAAACTGATGGGTAATTACAGGGCCACTGGCAACTGGGGTAGGGAGATTATACCCGGAGGGAAGTTGTCATGTACCCTCAGGGGGTCCTCCCACTTTTTTGCACATCAAAAGAGCATGTTTGCAAAATCTTTTGTTTTGGGTCTTCAATTTGCTCTTGCCCCCTACTTTTAAGCTTCGCATCCTCTAGAATAGCGAATGACACGCCTACCTTTTGATAAATCTTCTAGATCTCGTAAGATCGTGAAGTGATTGGCCAAGTCCGTAGCTAAGATGATTGTTTGCATCAAGTCCAATGCGGTTTGATAATGCTGCAAATGACAACAAGATAAACATAAAAACAATGAAAGTTTTTTCGGGAGGAAGACTTCAAATTTCCCTTAGATTTTAAGTTATATAACTCCAAGTTATATACATCACCTTTAGGTAGAACAGCTTTTAGGCAAATGTTCTGCCGTTACTTGTTATCGACATGCATCGACATGTTTATTGTTACTGGTTACCGCCCTTTTTCAATATCTGCTGGTGATTTGCGTACGATCTTAAGGAACAAATAGTCCCGACTTCCATTAAAGAGGCATTTAATAAAACTGAATATAACTCCAAGGCATGTATCTCGGATTATGCAGTTGATTTAGGAGAAAAGCCACTAAGGGACTGATAAACTGATGAAATGCGGTTCGATATACACACGGCAAATAAGACACAAATATACAGAATGGTTTGTCTTCAGGATAAAAGAACTAAATCTTTGACCGCTCTTAGCATCGAAACAAAATGGCTACAAAATACTTCAATCCAGACCTCAAACCAATCATTAATTAAGAATTATGCCTTTTGAGAGAGAAATGTTCACCAAGAATATACCTTTTTGGAGAGATTTTCAAATAAATTGCATCCTTCACTGTGAATAATATGAATGGCTTGAGCGAAGTGATGTTTCTGAAGAAAATTAAACAAATACAACAATGAATTCAAAGGGAAGGTATTGAAAGTTTCGCGGACAAAAAAGATATGCTATAGAGAGTTTTTCTTTCATATATTAGGGGTAGAACATTTCCAATAAACATATTCAATGGTAGTGCTTCGTGAAAGAGAAAGCTAGCTGGCCTGTTTTCCTAATCATTTATTTTCTGAAACACGTTTAAATGAAGGGAAAGTTATCATTAAGCGATCTTAAACAAAATAACGTCTCTTTTCTAATAGCAAACGTTGCAATGTAGGTATTTCAATAATAAGAAATTTATTATTAAATGAAATCTTGATAATTATGACGGTATGAAACCAACCTCCATGACTGAACCATCAGAGCTGTACAGCGATGCAAGTACAGATTTCTACAACAGAAACACAATTCAAATTGAAGCAAATGCATTAAACTGAAATTGTTAGAACATATCAGACATATATAAACTGTCAAAGTCTTGACAAACCCTACAATCCATCTATCTAAATAACAATGTATCTATCTATGCCTAACATATATTTGATGATAATGGGGATGCTGATGTTGATGAACATGAAACCTTTTCACCGCTCCAGCTGTTCATCTGAACCACACCAACATAGTAGCATGAAGTTTTTTTCAAAACATTAAATCATTGAGGAATGAGGGCTTACCGATGCGACCTGGAACGAATTCGTGGTACCTCGATGATCCAAATCGTGACACAGACAAGACACAAACAACACAAAACATTCAATATCCCTAAAAACAGCAAAAATACTCTATCAGCCAGGATGATTTAAGCATGTGTTGAAATAAAGAGATTTTAAAGTTGCTAACTCCTTTCTCTCTAACCACAGGCTTTATGCAAAACGAATGGGAAATCAGGAATAATGTTTTGTTGCACCAAAAATAATTTATTTGTTTCTTCGTTTGTACCATAAGTTTTAAAATCATCATTTTCAAACGTTTTCGTTTCCAGTCAAAGATTTCTTGTTGGAAATTTAGACGAAGGATAAAAATATGAAAGCATTTTCTTAAAGACAGGATCTAACAATTTCAAAAAAGGGCCCGGTTGAGTTAGTCTTAAGCCAAATTACAAGAACGGTGAAAATTTGTACATGAAAATTAAGTGGTAATTAAAAAAATCATTGATGAATAATTGTTTAAACATTAAGACATACTTAAGCATAGAAGCAGCCTCTGTATTCTTGAGTAGGAGGTAGCAGAAGTGAGCAACGGTCCAGGCGTGCGTCCAGTTGTGGTACGGAGGATCCCGATATCCTCGCTTTACAGTCAACACAAACCTGAATGGAACAATAGAAATAAGTTGCTTAAGGGCCTATACATTGAGTGATCGCAAGACTTTAAATATTGTTCTTGAAAGGGTCATGGCACCAGTGCCGGGAAGAAACACAGATCCTCTGTCTATTATAGTATTAAGTCGAAATAGAAACAAAAGAGTTTACAGATGTCCACAATAATGTCCGGTGCCTCTAAAAATCTAAGAAGTGCACTGGAAGAGATCAATTTTCTTTCAGCATTGCAAATGTTTGTAATTTTGCTTTTAAAAGTGCTGTTTTACCTTGCAAGTGTGCTCTCTCTGATTTTCCAGCGCTCGCAAAATCCCAGTTGTTGAAACATACTTAGTACGATCTACAAAAATAACATTAACATTTTTTTATAAAATTTATTTCAGAGCATTTAACAGTGATCGTTTTACGAATCCAAGTCACACAATTCATGATAAAAGAGTTGTTTATAAAAATGAAAAAAAATTTAACCCGGTCATGAGTTTTACTGTTGATAGGTGATTTGGTTTTCCCAACGTGAGATAAAAGAGACTAGAATAGTTTTCGAGCCAAACCCGGTTTTGCTCCAGCTTTCATCCACGCATGGACACAAGTCAGGTCGATTTCAAATTAGAAAACTGCTTTTAACTTTAAAGTAAAATTAATACGGTTACGTTGCCAAAATTGTTCAAGCCATTCCTGATTTCCCAAAGCCATAGGCTAGTCTAGGTCTGGCAAAGTTTCCAATGTGGCCCAGCAGTCATTAGGTGCCCACCCTGATTTCTGCCAACATTGAAAATGAATAGGATTTGATTCCTGTCTTGAAAGATGCCTTTTGGTGCGAAAGGTTTTAGCAGGAACGATATCTACACGGTGCTGATTTCGAACGGCATCAAACGGGAGCAGGGATAAATATTCTGGTGATTACATAAAGGTTCACTTTGGTAAAGACTACAGATTTAAATGTAACTATGGAAATGGTTACTAAGAGCGACAAACGAAGAAAAACATTCAGGGAAATCATACGATAAGAGACTGACCCGCACACCATCAGTATCAGGAAGGGCGATCCTTGGCATGAAATTAAAACTGTCCATATCTTTGTCAATTTCGTCCTTGGATGCAAACGGTTCTGTGGAATACTTTCGGATCTCTTGATGGCTGACCTGATAAGAAAGCAAGATAAAAACATTTTACGAGTTATATCTGTTTGGTCTTTATAACATTATTTAAATTAAATACAAATGAGATTCAATACTGCAATAAAACAATGTCTCAAAAAGCAGTCTATGAATTTGTTAGCTGATGAATGTTGAAAAGAATGAAAAAACTTTATGTCTTATCCATTTGGGATGTTTATTGCAAATCCGTTCAGCCAAATTCATCTTTGATTACCTAACATTAAATAGCTACCTTTTCAGATTCAAGGGAAGCATTCAGAAAGAAAGTTTATGGTTAAGCTGTCCAACAGAAACTTTTTTTGAATTTCCATGAATATGCATAAAGAGATTTTTAAAACTTGACACAGCACTTCAGAAACAGAAAGGCGACTTTAAAGATACAGCGAAGAAGACTTTGGGAATTTCGCCCATGCGTGAGAACATGAAATAAATATAATCTAACCATCGCGAATCAAATAAGGTGAACATGAATCTATTTGACATTATTGTATGGATGACATACTTGCATATGATACATCATCATCTCGTTGGCCAACTTGCTTCTATGCTGAGATTCCATCGCCTTTTGATACAGCAGTGACTAATAGATACAGAAAAAATAATTGACAAAGGAAGAAATAAATACATTTATTAAACGTATAATTGGTAAAAAGCAGAGATTTGCCTTTGCAGGGAAGCACTAGGTTATGATGCTTGAACGCAAAATGAATTATACAGAACATTCGTTTTATGCTATGATGTACGAAAGACTGTTGCATAAAAGAACCTTTAAAAGGGTGAATTCAAGCTTTTCTAATGTATTGTCCCATCTACAGTAAAAGGCATACGATTGTGAATGCAGTGGCGGACACTTGGGGGGGGGGCGAGGGAGGCGACCGCCCCCCTAATACTTTAGACGACAATGGTCTTTTGTTCTAAAACAATGGGAAATGTGACGTCATCTTATTAAAACAATAGGCTTCCCTCCCCTGTATTTGACCAAGTGTCCGCCCCTGTGTAAATGTATTCAGTTTAGTATGTAAAAAGCCTTTCTACCAATATCCACTGATAGCTCCTGTCCATCTACAGGTTTTTTAAACATCGATTAGAAGATTTGTTTACATTTTCATCTTTCAACCTAACATAGCTATCAGTTCATACTATACTCTTCTTTCGCTTGAAAAAGATCGAAACACAGTCTGCCCATGCCTAAACCCAACACAGCTAGCTTTCTTGTAACCAAACATGACTACATCAAAGAGTTTACATAATTCTGATTGGCCAAAATAAAATTCTTGAACATAGGAAATATCGAATCTACTTTTCGGTTGGAAGGAACATAACGATTATGAAAACGGTTGAAAAAGTACTGAAAACGCATCTCATTCTATCCTTTTTTCCAAACCTGTGTTCAACCATGTTTGATTTAAATTGAAGAGCACGGACATGGCCTAAGCGCCTTCAGTTTTAGGCCCACGGTGCATCATGGAATTAACTCACCTGAACAAGACTGAGTCCACAAAAGGTAGCGAATGATTCAGTCAGCTGCTCATCAAAGGCAGTAAAGCATAGCCCATTTCGTTTATTGCATAATTGTGACACACCAATCACCGTTGCGTCTACAATATTTTTAAGCTAATATCAATCTCCAAGACATTCTAAGTAACAGAACATTTTAGCAATGATACGTTTGATGTAGATTAAAATTAAAGTTTCATAAATTTAGCATATTTAGAGTATTTAAGCACAGGAGGGCTCTCTCTACGTTTAGTTCAACTAGAGAGAGTGTCCTTTTTCAAGAATTCCATTACCTTAGATCTGTATTTTCCATCACTGTAATACTATCATATTGTTTTTTGTTTTTCATTTATTGTTCTTGGTTATTGGCTTTTAGAACTTGATATGAAAATGACGGAAAATATTTTGTATAATTTTTCCCAAATAACGTCTCAAACAGGGGACAAAGCTTTGTATTATTTAATTATCCAAAATAATCATCATAATGTAAGGACATGGAGGCACGAGATATGGATACAGGGTTTTCTTCTAGTCTGGATACAGGGATACAGGGTGGTGTTTGGACGACGTACAGATTTCCTTCTAGTCTGATTTTGAATATCTGCCTTACCTCAATAAATCACAAAGTCGTTGAGATTTAAAAAGCAGCCAAATAAATGAAATTGAAAGGCGAATTACCTGCCTCGTTTTTAATAGGAAAGCATAAGATGTTTCTAGAAAAAAAGAAAATATTTAGATTTTTGTAAATTCAAAGGAGCTGCGAATGAAATTTACGTGAAGAAATATGTTAGATACTAACGCAAAGGTTTGTTTGCGTTTTGGAAGTATGTTATTGATGAAATACGATTGCCTTTTGCGTATAGAACATGACGGATCTAAGACCTCGTTGACACTACATAAAGAAGAACAGAACTCTTGGTTCCGTTCTTCTTTGGGCACGATATCACATTTTTTCATCGCGTTTACACTGAAGCAAAAAGGAACGGATCCAAATTTGACCCCGTTTACACTTAATGAAAAAAAAACGGAACTTTCGTGTGAAGCATGCGCAGTGGTGCGGGAATGACGCCTGACATTTTCAGAAAGCCTCGCCCCAACCCTAGATTAAGCCCCATTTTCAACCGTAACCAAGAGGTTCCGTTCCTGACCGTTTACACTAGAAAAAACAAGCACGATTCGGGAACGGAACCAAAGAGTTTCGCATTTCAGCGAAACCAAAGAAGAACGGGACCGTTCCAAAACTAGCACGGAACCAAGATGCTTAGTGTAAACGCAGGGCCTATCGTCGCTTTTTCAGGCACGCTTTTTTTTCTGTAGTGTAAACAGGGTCTAAGTTGCTACTTCGAGTTTCACGCTTGATGCCATCACCAGGCAACTGGGAAATCATCGATAATAGAAGGACTAAACTAAGACACAACAAGAGCAACTGATTATCGTATCAAATGAGAAACTCGGAATAGCAACTTAGAGCCGTCCAGATCGAAACACCAACGCCTGTACAGCTCTGCATATACGGCATCCAACACTTTATAACATACTGGGAAACAATAATTTTCATTAAATTCCCAAATCAATATATTTTTTGAATTATTTATAACAGAGCAAAATAATACCTCTTCTTCAAGAAGTCTGACTTAAACAGACTCACAAGATTTGATATAAATCATAAAAATAAAGGAAGAAGTTAGGAAATATTGGGTAAAAATATACCTTGTTTTGAAACCAGTTTGTATATCTACCTCTCTGTAAAACAGCGGGTGTGAATATGCGTCTGGAATATTGAGCATTTTTCCTAAAACAGCAAAAGGCATCTAAATATTAGCGATATACGGTGAAATCAAATAATAAATGAAGTTATAACAAGCTAAAGCCGAGAGTGTTCCCATCTGGATTGTCAGATAGTGATGGCTTACTTCAATTACTGAGCTATAGGTGTTAACGAAATTGTATGTCGCCTGAAAGTTTGATGATCATGATGATGAAGTTGATGATTATGACGTAACGAAAACCAGAAGAAGCCTCCGCTCTTGCAAGTAGAAGCGTCCTGAATTTTGTCACAATTTCATACGAATTTTCGAGTTAAACCAAGTCGAGTTTGAACAATTTTTTGGCGATACAGAACTTGAAAATGGATTTGAAAAAAGGAAACATTTCACAACATACTACTTAAACCATTTTCGTCTTACACTCTTCAGGGTACAAAACGTCAAAATAAGGGTCCGAAAGAACACGATCAGACGAAAAAGCTTTAAGCAATATGTTGTGAAATGTTTCCTTTTTCAAAGCCATTTTCAAGTCAAGTTTAGTGTTTAGCGGAAGATTGTTTAGAGAGTTTAAAGCAGTATAAAATGCTACAAAATCCATAATAAATACCTGTGGTAGCAACATGACCTGCAATTCCATGGGACAGAGGTATGCGAAGCTCATTTTCCTAAGAATGGACATGCACAAATTGATCAGCATAAGGTAATTTCGTATGGAATAAGAATATGTTAAACACTGAAATATGTGTACGCTTTCGGAAAAACAGTTTCATGAACAAAAGGTATCCTTCGCTTCTCTGACGTTGTCTTAGGTGTTTTTGGCCTTACGATCAATGTTGTCTTAATTGCGAAAAGTTCTATTCTTTGCTCATACGAGCTTTAAATAACAATGCTTTGAAAAACCTCCACCAACAAAAACAACATCTTAAATAAAGATCTTCTTTATTTTCTGCGTTGACATGCTAATTCCCATTTTATATCAATTTCGATTCAATTTCAGTTAAAAAAATCGAAAGGCATCTTTTAGGAGCTGAAGACGAAGTTTCAAAGTACAAAGAGATGCGACATCTGGGATAATATCTTGTTTTCATTTGCTATAGGCACGCAGAGACAGCTCAATATACAAAAAGATGCCTAACAGGAATTTTTCTAATGAGAATAAAAAAATTTGTGATAAATAGTTTGTGATAAATACTTATATCAGGTAAAATGATAAGTACCTCATCGTCTTTGGTCGTTTCTCCATCGAACACTTTTGCAACTAGTTCGTCCCTGTCTTGATCAACCAGGAACAAAGAACACCTACAAACAAATGATACAAAAATGATTCCAAATAAAAAATCAAGAGGGATTGATAACTTTGTGCCTAATTCCCTCCCCCTCTATGTTACATGGGCAAAGGGCCTACATCGATTCTTCGCATGCAACAATTTTGTCAATGGCTTAAAAAAACAAAACAAAAAAGCAAAATTAAATACAAGCGGCTGAAAAAAGCATTGATATCAAATAATGGTTTATTAAATTATTAGAAACATCACTATTTCCAAACAGACCGTACCTTTCTGCATTCGTTATATTTCGAGCCTCCTCCATGATTTTCCGTAAGATTGAGTCGAGATTATCTAGAAATGGATGGAGAATTATCGAATCAAGAAGGTTTAGCTGCATACGATAAGCTCTAATTCGGTATCATATGAAAAAAAATGTGACTATTAACTTATGAGTACAAAATGAAATCAATACGTAGGATTTTAGACAAAATCATCAAGTTTTCCAGCCCAACAAAATTTTCTGAAGTATATGATATCTTCATGGGTAAGAAAATTTTGAAGTTGCCACTGATGAAAATATTACCACATTCCTGGGCAGCGAAATTTTCAGAAGCCTCCTTGTGAAGCTAACCTAGAATGCTGAATATCTAAGGTCTATGAATACTTTGATCTTGTTTTACATCGTCCCTATCTGGTTCTGTATTGACTCAGTCACAGTTGAATTTCATCATAAAAAATTCATATAGTTCTGGACATTACTAACTATGAAATTGTAGATGAGTAAACATACATACCGAGATGAGTAAACAGATTTCTCGTCACTGACAATAAGCACTGAAATTGAAGCAAAACATATATTTTCACTTTTATTTGAGAAATTCAATAGAGTTTTGTGACGACCATACAGACTTCAAGATTGGTCACTAGGTTGAGATAATTTCTCCCTTAAAAATCTGATTACTTCTTCAGCAGGCGGCAACGTACAACATCTCGCCAATCATGATTATTGAATATTCTGTAGCTTTCTTTTCGATTTATCACACTTCTGTTATCAGGTTTCCTACATACTTAGATGGGCAATTTTTCTTCAGGAGAGAATAGTGACACCTTATTACGTCAGAAAAACAATAAATCAATCATATCATAAAGGCAGGACTATTATTCATCTCTCTAGTTGACATTGTCCAGTTTAAAAGTTCCAGCGAAATACCAATGCATGCAAAACAACTTTCAAAAGCTGATGTATGACAGAAAGCATTGACTGCCAGAATATCCATCTACGTGTAACGAATAGAAGGCAATATGGTCTTATTTGATCGATAAAAACAGGAATTTAAATTGTAAGGAAGCGTCAAAATGAATTTAATGGCAGCTTAGCAGTGACGCGTAGTGCAATAGCGTACTTCATTTTTTCGTTTAATGATCATTTCAGCCTTCCACAACAGTCCATTCTTCAGTGCCGGCGCGCATTGATTAGCTACGTCACCAAGCAACGTTTGGTCAGTTGCTGAGAAGCTGGTGTGAAAAAAACATTATTTTTTGAGAGGCTAACAAAAATGAATAATCTTTAGGCAAGCATAAGAGAAAACATATGCACATTCAGTACGGTTCACAAATAGATTACTTTATTTGCTAGTCAGAATGCCTAGTACTGAACATCACTCTAAAATCACAAGAAAATACAACTATGTAGCAGGATTATACGATTACGAGGTTATGATTACGAGATTATCATGCGTAACTGTTATGCTAGCCTCGTTTCCGTTTGTATATAACACTTAGCCTTTTGTTCAGAAATTCAATCAGTGACTTCACAAAGTGACAAGATATTTCGGTAAGTCTTATCTTTATTCCTGTTCTGGGGGAGGGGAGTTGGTCTTGGCAAATTTTGTCAAAATTTAAGTAGGGATTTCCTAAGCAACAGAAGACGTAACACATGCGCGAAAATTTAAAAGCAGTGTAGTGGATCATATATATGTGAAGTGATCTGACTTATGAGATTTCGGTAAAAAAGGAGAATATCACTTGCCTTTTGCCTCCGTCTTTGTTCATTAAACATATAAAGGCGATAAGTTCATCGTGGACATCCATGACGGGAAGGATAAGCAAGGAATTCACACTAATTTCTACAGAGAGAGAAAACCAGATTATGATTGGAAAAAATCATATTCATTCGATTCAGTGACATTTAGCGAGGAAAATGTTGATGAATAATATTAAATTATAAACACTCGCGGTTCTTACTTCCAGATACAAATTACGTTTATTGTAATAACTTACAAGTTTTTAAAGATATTAAACATTCAATAGAGAGCACTACTTTGGAGAGCATGAAGTTTATTTGAAATTTTGAACTTGGTAGACAACGCAAAATTTGATTACCTAATTTGAAGTAGTTGGTGAGTTTCTTAAAATCACGGTCTTCGTCTGAATCCTGAAAAGCAAAGACAGCTATTAGACTTAGACACAAACCTAGTGCACCAACTTTAATCAACCTATTTATTATTACTAAATATACTATAGTTACAGGTGAATTATAGCAACCGAATCAAGCAGCATCTACAATGACATCAAGCACGAATCTAACCAAAGATCCAACAATTTCGCAAAACCTATTCAGAATTCCTTATTATAGTTCTGCACCGGTGTACAGTCGTAATATTGCGTATGAACCTCTCTTCTTGGAACTTAGTGCTATTGGTGTCTCCGATGCGTCTTTGATTTGCCTCCGATGCGTCTTTGATATGCCTCTGGTGCATCATTGGTGCGTTAACGGCGTCGTCCTTGTTTAGGTCACTCCATAGCGAAGAATTTTGGTCCACATAAAACTCGGTTTTAGATTTGCCAAAAATTCAAAGTTAATTTTTACCAATAAAAGTGAATTTCGCCACAGATAAGTGACGATTAGAATTTTAAAAAGTACACTCGTTGCTAGGAGATATGTACTAGAAATTTTGGGTCAGTTGAAGAGAAGAGCGGGAAGGATTGCTAATGAAATGTAGTATGAAAAAGTGGAAGCTTTCACAAAAAATTGGACGAGAGTAAAGACCTTTCAACTAATTGTATTATTAAGTAAGTATTGTATTCATTACTTGATACGATTGTCGCTCACCTTGGCGAAATCTAGGCAGGCAGCTTTCGGGTCAGTATAACGCGACGCAAAACAGCTTCTGCATATCTGATAGGATAAAAGCAGTTAGTTAAAAGATTACAAGATGACGGAGATGAGCCTGTGAAGTAAAGCCTTTCACAGTAAAAGGTTACATACAAATGACTAAACCACTTTGCCCCGCCATAATGAAGCAATTGAATTGAAACCGGGTTAAGGTCAAGTAGGTCTTTGCTTTTAATTTCCCTTTCAGCATGATCCCCTTTTTCGGGCGAGAGGAGATGAAGCGTCAAACTTACATCATCACAATGAGTTACGATAAAAAGTAGTGACAACCCAGGCCATTAATAAAGGGAAAGAAATGCTCACCTCAAAACGATATTCTGAACTGACAACTGTTTGACCGAATACCTACAAAGCAACAAACTTAGAATGGAATGAAAGTTTTCAAAGACTGCCAAGATAGCAGTGAAATTTTCAAAACTGGCACAACTGACAGTGTGGCAAAGTGATGACTAAATAAAATCTATTTTTAGAGATTTTAAATTTTGCGCACTTAGAGGTAACTAATAGAGCTCTTTCAGTTTCAGGTTGCACAAACAATTTTTGTGAAGTCATCACTTTGCCACTCTGATGGGAAGAATTGTTGGGAAGTTTATAAATCTGTTGCGCCAGGTACTTGAAATAAAAACCTTGATTTACAGTTTAGCTTTAAGGATAAGTAGCTCGCACCAATAAACACACGTTAATAGATCATGTGTGAAACATGGGCTTAACTAGTATATTAACACCTCTGGTACACGAAAAATCCAGAAAATATCATGCAAAACATCTTATTATTAATATAAAGTGGTAGGCAGAGAACTAAAACTTTGAAGAATAGAAAGGAAACATAACGACAAGATGTAGAGGTTGAAGGACAACTTCAATGGCATGTCCTCGGATGTTACTCAATGGTACGACAAACAACCTTGATACTTACATTGGTGAAAAGTTCATCAGAAGAATGGTCAACCAATAGCACGGTTCCATATCTCGCATTCACAATATTGGACAACTGAAAGAGATAATAATTTGAGCATTCTCCCTTTAAACGTAATTTATAGCGCCACAAATATCTACGAACCCATGCTAGATATAGAAACAAGGGCAAGCACCATTAGTCGATGGTGATTCTCGTTTGCTTCCTCTTCGTATCGAAGTTGTTACAAAGAAGCTCGTATAACTCCAATCGGAGTTCACTGAGCCTCCACCAATTTGAATTTTTTGATTGGTAAGTTATGTTAACTGTTGAAAGAGATCATCAGCGAGTAATGTGCAACTTCATCATATGCATTCTCTAAGATAAGCATGCAAAAGTCAAGTTTTGAATTTTTTTGCAAATTAATAAAAGTTAAAGCAAAAAAAGTAATCCAGAATGAGCACTCACTTGGGTTGCTATCTTTCGGCAAACGACATTCAAATCTTTGTCATATATTCTTCCTACGAAACAAGATAACACATTGAAATAAGAAAACCTGATATTCGATAATAAGTGTATCTTTGACTAGATTCCTAGCACCTGTCAACCTGGCCTAACAAGGCATGGCGATAAACGATGACCCATACCAAAACATGTCATGTCATATCGTATTATGTACATAATATGTTAACATACTGTCATCCTAAAATCAAAGCTATCCCTGATAAAAAGTTTATCAACTACGTCTTAATGATTAAAAACAGCCCTGATTAATTTCCATCAAGTTAATTATTTTGGGCAGAGTTAACTTAAAAATTTAATGTATGTTTAAAAACGAAAGGTGCAGTAGCCAGCTTGTAATCTTTATTTGGTAATAAGCTTAAATTTGTAGTTTACAGTTATGAATCTAAAATCTGGGTATTAAATTCACAAGCTGTTTAATATCAATTGCGGGTGGACTGACCGAGGGACTTGGGATGGAAGAACTGACGGACGGGCACACAATTAAAACAAATGAAGGTACGCGAATGAATGAAAGACCGAACGACTCATAAAACTGTTATGTTGTCAGAGTTTAGATTAAGGAAAATCAATCTTCCTGCTACTCATATGAATTGTGCAATGTCTATCGAAAAAAGGAAAAAGTCGGAAATTGGGAAGTCAAGATAGTTTTCTGAAGTATTACATATTATTTCGGGTCAGCAACAAGAGGCAACCAAACATAATCTCCTTAGGGTTCAGGTGTGAGATCAATAACACCACTGTCTGCTATTAATCAAATATTGTCTCAATGAGGTAAATTTTTCTTTTCTTCTTTATTTCCAGAACTTCAACGAAAGGCAAGTACCTGCCTGTTCAGTCGTATCAACTTCAGCTCTTTTGCATCCTGCCTTAAATTTGGTTGCTAAATTAGCGATTATTAATAAAAATTGATTTTGAATAAAGTTCACTCCAATCTGCAAATGTTTACACGACCACCAGTTAAGCCTTTTCAAAACGCTTGTCAGTTGCGGGGGAGAAATTTAACGATCAAGTGCTAAATAAGCACCCTTTTGAAAGCGCGGGCATCGTAAATTGATGCTCGCACTGCCCGCAAGCCGCCGTATCGTATAGGAAGGCAGCTTTTACAGGAAAGACCAATACAGCGTGTGTGTTTTTGAACCCGTTACTTCTTTAATGGTTGCTTTTTAGATATACGGAAAAGTTTAAGTCGAATTGATAAGATATGCACATAATACAGCTCCTTAATCCGATTTTCAACGCAAGTCAAAATATACAAGTTTCTCGTATGTGAATTGAAATCTTGCACTCCATCAACGATAGGCTGCTTGTAAACAAACGTTATATTACTCCTTCGACTTTCAGTTCCATAGTAATCAGATTTACTATGAAAGACCTTAATTTCAACGAAGGTTTTTACTGATGGGGGAATGACGGTATTCATTAATTTTTGAAGTGGAAGGCTCACATTAAAAGTAGGCGTCTATAAGTTTGTGCAGCCTTACTTAAGTGAGGGTGAAAATAGGCGGCGAAGGTTTGGTAAGTAAGCGGCGGACTTTCGCCGGTTGCAGGGTTCTAATGAAATCCCTGAGGAATCAGCATGACCTCCAGTAACGCATCTTCGATAAGCTTAATACGTGCGTAGAAAGTTACAAAAAAACTTGACAGGAAAGAAACTTAGAGATGCAGCCACGTCCGTCATGAGGCCCGTTCACCTAACGCCGGTTTTTGACAGCACTTCGGCACCGTACGCGCCACAAATTGTCCGCCTTCACGGGTTGCTATTAAAGTTTTGACAATCTTGTCATGGTTACTGTCTACGTGAATTGAAATATTTCCCAATCTTGAGATACAACTAAAGCTTGATGATTACGAAAGCTAATTGAAATTCAATCTAAAACGTGTTTGCAGCAAGCTTTAGTATCTTTGGTATCGTGGCTTGATTTCGTGGCTTAAATACATTAGCAGATGCAGCGAAGTGTAGCATTAAAAAGAGGCTTTCTTATTAATTACTGCAAATGGTTTCTTCGATCCCTGCTGAGAAGGTTGGTTTCTGGGTAGAGCTGACCACAAGCGCTATGAACAGGATTACGTCATCAGTAGGGGACTTGTTTAAAACTAATGAGGCAACCAGCAAAAGATGACGTCAAAATTAGTTTTCAGGAGGATCATCTATTTATAATGAACTGGCTTTTTGGAACAGCCACACCCTCGGGTTGTTTGCGCGGTTAATTAAGCTGGTAAAAGAGCTTGCGCTTCGCTTCAAAAACATTTGTGTGAAGGTTGACATTTGGAATTCTAGCCACAAATATTGAAGCTTTTCAAACTTCAGAAAATGGAGTATGACAAAATACGCTTATGATATTTAATTACCTAGCCAGAACTGTTTAATGGACGGGATAAGGCTACCTAGTTTTACAAAAGCTTGGATTCAGCAATATGGACTTTTGTTGCCTTGTATTTCAACCAAGCTCACATTCTGGGAGCCATTAAGTTTCAGAAAATTGATCAATTAAGTTACTTCTCCGATAAAAGCTTCTTGGAAAGTCAAGTGGAAAAGTTTCAACTCAAATTGCTTTGCTATAAGAACAGTTCTTGCAAACATTTCCATAACTGTTAAAGTATCTACAACACATGTGCTTGGAAAATTCAAATACGAAAATAAAATTGTTTGTACCTAATTCAGCAACAATATTTGACTTCGCTCTTGCAATTAGCATGTCACTAAGTCGTGCATATGCTTGCGAAACCTAGCAAAAATGAACTTAAAGTGAGACTTTGTAGCAGAGAGAATAATTTTAAGGGAGAGGTGCTCCCTTAGTTCATAAGGTTAATCAAAACGAGTAAGCTGTGCTTGCTACTTCCAATAGGGAGTAGAAATTGTTCATTTGAAACCACCATTAGATCGAACAGCATAACATGTTCATGGCAGAAACAAGTTTTCCTACAAACATTTTCCTGGAATACTCTTCTTGAAAGATGCTCTGAGGTCAAGGTTAACCGTGAACATAGAAGTACAAAAACAAAAATTCTGGACTGGATTAGAAAAAGATCTGCAGATGGTACTGATAATTAGAGAAACTGTTGACCTGTTAATTAACCAAATGATCAGGTAGCTACATCAAATAGCAAATTTGTTGGTGAGACGACTCTAGATTCCTATTGTTTCGGGCAATTGTTCTATTTATTTGTCCGAACCAATAAGCAAAGTGCGTCATATGCACAGCTTCACAGCATACTCAATAAAACAATGATACATCATAGTTGCATGAAATAAACCAGAGTTCCATTCTTATTTATTTAAAGATATTCTGTTTTCTAGGTTTTCTTCGTTTTTTCATTGGAGACTAGCTTATTCCCACAAAAGCCATGGATGTTCCTACCACAGAATGTATTATGCGGTATAAAAATAACATCATCGATCTTAAATGCGCATTTTGAGAGCCAACGGGCCTTTGATAAATGCTGGTTTGTCTCCCTAACAAAAAGGTTTTACAAACAGGACCTATAAAACTTACGTGTTTACTTAAAGAGTCTAGAGTTTTCAGAATATCTTGTGACGATTTTTTCACCAGAATCTAAAAAAAATAAAACATGAAAGTTTCATACAAAATCTTTGCACGCTCCACATTAAACAAGCTGATGTTTGCATGTGACAGAAAATCCAAAGTTTTAGTTTTTTTGTCATGTAAATAACAGAAAAAATGCAGATAATTAGTATGAAATAACTGAAATAGTAAGCATGTAAAAATGGCTTACATGAAGAACACGGGATAGGTAATTAAAACAACGTTTTGCGTTTAACTCTTCATCAGGTTCAAAATGGTGAAAACAATGTTTCTTGTCAAGCCATTTTACCAAAAATTTCAATAAAAGAAAAAGGAGTCACTCTGGTTAATAATCATCCCCCTTGTATAGTATAACAGTTAAATTGGAACTTCAAGCAAGTGGTACTTACCATACTGTAGACGACAACGCTTTTACCTATGACGTCATTGACTGGCCAGGAAATAACTACATAAAGAAAACAAATCAAAACAAATTAGTAGAAGCACCAAGCAAATATGCAGGGATTGTCGCTCCAAGCGACCCCAGATGCAAGTAAGTTACACTTGGGTTCATTTTACAAATTTATAAAGAAACTAATTCGCCTATACTCTCTATTCACATTGGCTTATATAAATCAAATCTTCCAAACTTAGCCTTCCTAATATTTTGTAACAGCGTCAGCGCCACTTTGTTTGATTTACATTTACTACTGTGGTTTCTTATAATACCACTTATTGTCGAATATGTATCCATGCAAGTATGCTTGTCACGTTATAAAGCAAGTAGTTCTCTTTTCCTTAAAAAGTATCCAAACCTTAACATTTAAATCTAAACACTACAGTACAAAGAAGTATCTAAATTATGTTTATTACAATTTTGGAAATAATTCCGTGCAATAAATTTGTGAGCTAGAGCATAACTAGAAACAAAATTTAAAGTTTTCATGTCAACATTATCAGAGGCTACTCAACTCCAACTTTTAAGGGGCGATGGTTAATTCTTCAATCCCAAAGCTGTGTCCTCTAAAACATTCTGAGTAATTTAAGTACTCTGATTATAGGTATTATCCAAGAAATGCATTTACAACAAAGAAACAGGGTGCGGTTTCCACTAATGCATTGACGAAGGTAAGTGACATGTCTCTGAAAAATAGCTAGGTTACTGTTACCAGGGCTCAGATTTATTGTTTAGAAGGTTCCATACCCATAACCTATATCGGGATAAAGGCGAAGTGCACTATGAGTGGATTGCTTTTACTCGTTCAACTGATCTACATCGAACACTTTAAAAACCTGAGAATCTCGAACGACTGCTTATAAGCTCATGAATCTTCAAGCGTGGGGCAACAACGGAATTCAAACTCAGAGTTATTTAAAATAGCAGGTTACTATCTGGGGCTCAAGCGAACTATTTCGTTCGTATTAACGTTCCAGGTCTAACGAGCCCTATATTTTGAAAACATAGTTGCCCGCTAGGCTTATACACTCATTGAGGGCTGGTTATTTCTCATCAACTTTCTTGATTATGATGCCTGCTCGGCTTCTAGATTTTCAAAAAACTTACCTGTTTCACTGCCAGTGAAGCCAGAAAAGACTTCTCGAACATTGCTTGTGTTGGAAATGATTGAGACATTGGCCTTGGCACGCTCCTGGCCGCCCCTACGAAGTATGAATCTTGACAATAAAAATTTGATGATTGAAAAGTAGACACAGAAAAGTCATGATTAAGTGGGAATTAGATATCTTTCAAATAGACTGGAATCGGTAGCTTATCAGGCAGAAAAAAACACATAGATGCCATTAAATGTTAAGAGAGTGTCAGCTTCTTAAAGACGCACTGTGATAAATAATTTTTCTCGAATTGGGCTGAAAGGGAGATTTGATTTAAACGAGCGAATTTAAGGCAGTATGTTTGTAAGAGTAGCAAGCTTGGCTAAAACCAATAAAATCAAAGAATTACAATTATAACGATCGTGTGTGCAAGTGCAATGTACATAGACACAGCAAGTTCAGGAGGAAAACACTGGAGACATGAACTGAAAAACTGCGAAGAGTAATTGAAATGATAAAAATATGTACCTCTTGAGCAACGATTTGACATGAGCTCTAGGGCTCTACAAGTCTCAAACACAATAACTAGAGAAATTAATAGATTATTCTTCCAACGTGTTTAATAGCGTCGTATTTCTAAGCAAGGCCGTCGCTAGCTTTTGTGCTCATTGCTTCAGATTAGGGGGAAGGGGGGGGGGGGTTGCCCAGGTTCAAATTGCCTACAAAATTGATAAGCCATCCTTTGTTTACCGAAAAATTTGAAGATTCGCCAACGAGCCCCCTCCTTCCTTCTGATGGCAAAACTCCTCGTTCTTAAAACATAATTTTTTCCAAGGGGGATTTCTCACTCTATAGCTACGGGCCTGTCCCTAATAAAGAACCATAGATATTCTATAGTTCCATAATTCTTATAGCGCGATAATTATGTAGCACATGCAGAAATATTGAATCAAGCTTAAGAGCATCTAGGGTCTCAAGGCATTTTGAACCAATCATTCGGACTTCCAAGCTTCAATATACACCTGCATACTACTACTAAACCTTGTATTCAGAAAACAAAGGACGAGAGAAAGCGAATTATCAAACAATCGTACTAAGCAATCTACAGTCTGTAGACTAAACTTTGTAGCAAACAGGAATGGGATAAATTATGATCGTTCGTCTCTCTGGCGCATGCATAATTCACGATATAATGTAGCTTTCTTTGTCAAACAAGTACAGGAAATAAATGAAATTTTTTTGAGAAGAGAATTTTTGAGGCAGAGACAATTTTAAACATAGTTATCTCAGTTATCAGTAAGAATTGAGGATTGGTTACCTTGAGATTAAATTATGCTTTATGTATTTAAAGAAGGGGTGAAGTTGATAGAAGAACAAAAATGAATTTGCAAAAAATAACTGTTTCAAAAAAAGGAGTCATCAGAGAAAACTTGCTGTATTCCTACGACGTTTTGAAGTGGAGAAAACTAATCATGAAATCTTAAAAGACCTGAACATTCAAAAACATGTCTTATAAACAAATTTAATCGACAATCTGACATCAAATCTTGCTCTACGAATCACCATAACTTTACCATTACAGGTTTGTTCTTTTTAAGGCTTTAGAGCGGAAAGGTCTAAAGATATTCGTCGAGTAAAGATACTCGATGAAAGGCTGAAACAAACATCTAAGCTGGCATCTCGATTTTTTGATCATTTCAATGGGATCTTTTCAAAAATATTATTCGAAATCTAATGCCACAAAGATGGTAAAGAACGAAATGAAGTTTTTGAGGTAAGGTTGTATGGTAAAACACAGGGCCACAAAGGTCATAGGTAATTCTTATAATGTCTTTATTGGATACTTGTGACGTCAAAGTTGATGGGTTTTAAATCTTTGAGCGTCTTTAATATCCATGGATAAGATAGCGAGGGGACAAAACGAAAAGAGAGGCTGAATATTGGTCAGGGAAATATTTAAAAACAATTGAATTTGTGGTTTAGAAATTCATTGGAGAACTGTAAGGTCCTGTTTTACAGTAACTGTGCATGGGCAAAAAACCATTGCAACGAAAAATCTGTTCCACGTCCCAGCATTCCTCAGTCACACCGTTGATAACATACGGGAATCAAAAAGGCATAGGACCTAATGCTTAGAAAAAATATTTGAGTACAAACGTTATCTCTGGGCATTGACCAACTGTAATGTACTGTCGAGTTCATTAAACAGAAAATGTTCTTGCAAATTCGCAAGTACTTGAGTGCGCATTCTGTTATTGGGATTGCAAGAGGGATCTGTATTGAAACTTACACAAATATATACTGCCTGGATAGAAATTGCCGTATATTTTAGACTGGGTAATCATGAGTTGAAATAAGACAAGCGATACTTTCCCTTTCCTTGATAAGAAAATGATAAAAATAAACGAATATGCAAAAACACAGCAACGGAATACAAGAAATACAATCTTGAAATGCTATGGTTTAAAAATTAAATAAAAAATCGCAAAAAAAATCGATGCAAATTAAATAAAATTGAATTAATGCAAATTACTGCTTAATAGGTCTGCCATAAAGTTTTTGATGCCGTCTAGGCAGAACTATACACGCTTTAGTTTATAGAACAGGACGGTTCAAAGTTGCTACTCCGAAGAAATCCTTAAATCAAGTCATAAAAGTGATGCCTTTATTTTGGTAACATTGCACCAGTGATATGAAGCTGTATATAATCCATACATTCATCAGAAAATGAATCGAGCTTATCAAGATCTGGAATAAGATTATCGTCTTTAAAGCAAGCTAAAAAGTAGTTCTTTTAGAGCTAGGCGGTGCTCCAACAGGATAGGGCACTTGCACTCTTACATTCTACCTAGTACCCAAAGTGACCGAAAAAAAAAATAAATTCCACAGCTTTAAAAGTGGCTTCTCCTCGCGATAATGTTCCTCATTAAACAGCCAAAATCAAGCGTTTGCAATGAAAGTATACATACCATCCAGTGAGAACATCGGATCCATTTTCACATGAAGAAACTGTGCAGTTATTATTCGTTTTGTTGTTTCCTGAATTAACAAAAGTCAGTTCCTCGTGGAATGGGTCCAAGATGAACACCTTCAGAGCAATCTGCAAAATACGATTAAGTTATAATGAAATACGAATTCTGTTCAACAGCAGTGGCGGCTTTAAAAGGTTCCACGGGGGCCACGGCCAAAGGCCCCGCGCTAATAGTAGCCAAAAGGGACCCCGCACCAAAGAAATGAATGAAAAATTGCAAAGAACAAGGGCGCTGCAGATGATTCTGGACCCGGACCCCAAAGTCCCTGCAACCGTTACTATTGAATGAATAAACGGTACCATCGGACCGAGGTATAATTGTTTATATACAGAAATCTTGGGGAAATAAACCAGCATTTGTTCGAAGGTCCGCCTGTTAACTTTCAAAATTTTGCATAAGCTCAAATAAAATCGATGACGTCTTTTCACATTGCGTAATGTATTATGTTTAGGAAACATCCCTGACATTTATGGGAATAAGATAGTTTTGAATAAATAGACGAGGAAAATTTAGAGAAAGGGGTGTCATGGGAAAGGTGAGAATGAAACTCTGGTTGGTTTGATGCAACTTTGACATATGATAGTTTTGATTAAGAACTGTGGAGCACCAAGTAATGTAAATTTTTTCCAAGCTCTAAAGCGCATGTGTATCTGATGCACTTTTCATTGGTTCAAACAAATGGGTAGAATAATAGCTCTTAAAAGCAAGAATCTAAACACAAAACTTTCCCTAACAAGAAAAACAGATGAAGTATAATTTCTCTCCACTATGACAAAGGGACAACTCTCAGGCCTCATGACCAAGAGAATCTTTGACAAGAATATAGCTATAAATTCCCCCTGGCTAATTTTCTATTTTTCTTCATTCCAATAATATTTTAGGACAAATAGACTCTCAGCCAAAAGTGTATAAAACAAGCTAGAGTTGTTTACTAAATAGTGACTTATCTGGAAGCAAACAGTGTTTTAGTTCCCAAGGATAGTGCTAATGGAAAATCTTAGTTTTTGGGACTTTGGTTTGATTTCAGTGGTGTATATAGAAGGGGTCACGTAGATAGAGGGGTCAGAGGGGGTGAAAAAACTTCTATAAAGCTGAACTACTATTTTGCCGGGAAAAGTCTGTCGTTGTTGGTATCATAACAAGGCTGTCTTTTTTATTTAAGTGTTAGATCTTGAAAAAAACGTTTTAATGTTGAATATTTTATCAATGTTTTTAATGTTAGCATAATCATATCTGAATATATCGGAAGAATTTTATTATTTCAGTTTTGATGTCGTTATACTATGTTCTAATTTATGAAAAAATAAAAATACTTTTTGGATTTTTGTCAGAAAATATGAATTTGTAGCCCCTCCTATTATTTTTCCTGTCTATGCAACATCTCGATGTGAACACTCATTTTATGATTGTCCAAAGACGTCTAAAGCCTAGGATGTACCTTATATCAACATTGCATTTTCCTGGAGAACGTCTCTGTTTGTTCAACTACTAAAGCAAATAAGGTATTCATAGAGATTAAATTGCTCATTTCGGATTTATAAGATAAATGCCTTTGGGGCATAAAACGGTGTAGAAGATAACCAACATAAGGAACCAACACAAAATTGCTGCTGCATCTTTTGAAAAATTCATTTTCAAGGATTTAGAGTGGCCTGGCTCGATGACGTGTGCAAAATCACAACCAAACAAGGAGCGAATGTATTTTTAACTAATGAAGTTGATCATTTATTATGTATCTATCAGTGTTTTTAACTTCAATGAACGAAAGACTTTTTATTGGTGCAATAGAAGTCAACTTTCAAAACAAATGACTGTGGTATTATAAAACAATTCAATTTTCTACAACGAGCTGAGGACGTGTCGTTTTCATACGTGTAAATAATAAATTATCAAAAGTGCTAAACACTTCTCGAGAGGTATGACATACATCGTCGCCTATTGCTGTAAGCTTTTATTATAGCATCTTGTGATGCATGTAAACTGAAACTTCATCGATACAAGAACGCTACATACTTGACCCATCTGACACCTGCAAGAACTTCGACAGCTGCAAGTCATTTAAACTTAGTTAAAGTGGAATGTAATTTTTGGGTAACCATATATATTTGTAGTGCGACGTATTTGAGGAATTGATAAGGCCGTATATGGGTATATGATTTGTTGTGTTTCAAGATAAAAGTTGCTTTTTGAGAAAACGAAATAAAATGGATATTCTTTGCAACAGAAAATGCTCTCGAGTGGCACGAAGCATCAAGGTACTTGAATAATCAATTACACGCTGCTTTGTTGCAACATTTTTTGCTTAGCTGTCTAAATTCAAAGAAAAGATTACAGGAACAGAAAACTAGAAAATTGGGAATTAAGACAATGAATGTTGTTAAAACCTGAAGCAATGAATATTATCAAACAACACCTGACAATACAATAGTAACAATTTCCCCAATCAATTGTTTTGTTTAGCAACCTGATGCTCCGACTGTATTCGAGGTGCCCCTGGATCACTTGCATGCAGATATTCAAATTTTATCATCTTCTACCATCGTTGCAAAATCTGCATAATTTCATCAACATGTCCAAGGTTTATCTGCCTGTTTTATTAAAAAACTTCTGTACCTAATCTTGCTTTACTTATATTTAAGGAGCAAAACTAATTGGCATTCTCTCACAGTTTCAAATTTGACTTAAAAAACAAAAAAGTCGCTTACCAGATTAGATTTGATGACATTTTTTAATATTGCTTCGATGTTATCGGCTAACTTGTCACGTGTGTCTGAAATTCGAAGATTGATGATATCCTGTCACGAAAAGAGAAAAAATTGTTTGAAGGGATTTCATAGGCATCAAAATGACTGGAACGTGTACGCATTTCATGGGCAGTTCAGCCACGCGTTTAACCGCTATGGTTAAAGTTTGGCAAGAAATTTGACACAAGGTCAATGAAATATTTCAAAGAAGAGTGCAGCGCGAGACCTTTGCTGCACGTTAAGGGTTATTGATTTCCTGTTCAATATTTTTGCAAATAAGATGCTAAAAGCTTATTTAAGATAATCAGACTACTGCACTTACGAAACCGAACAGTTTGCTGCAAACAAATTGGCGTATAGGGGCTATAAATTCTTTTCGTTTGCAAATGAAGCTGTGTGTAAGCTAAAACTGTAGGAACGACAGATGACACAAAAAACTGAATGAAAATAAAAAAAACTATGTGGATGACTAAATCTAAAGCTGAAAACAACGATTCCCAACATTTACAAGTACTTACAGCAGACAGACTTTGCATTTTAATCCGATGGTTCTTCTGTTTAACGTGTACACAAAAATACGACTGTTCTGAGAGGTGCCTGTGTATTTGCACAAGATATAAACACCTAAATGTGATAAAGGCGTGTAAATTTGCAAAAATGGAATTATCTTGCACGGTTTTATTCGGATTTCTGCCAAGACTTAGCCGCACGGGGGGATTATTCATGGCATCGTGATGTTACAACACACCTGGATACCTATCGATGTTGAATTCAACAATGTGCTCGCTGTAGGTACACCCTTGTTACTCGAAAGGCTGAACGTGTTTGTTAAAACAGAAATTAGGGGCCGCATAATACATCTGAAAATGTATCGATGAAGAAAAAGGAAAACAGAATAACTTAGCAAGCTCTTCATTGTCTGATCTGATTTTAAGCATTTAGCAAAAAACACAAGTGAAAGCATGCATAATAAGTGGTATAAAGCTGTATTTTAAATTCCAACCATCAAATGTAGCGTTTACGTCACGTCTTGAGATAGGACCATCATTTAATTCTCTGTCCTAACTGCTGGTTGGGAACCTCTCTCCCCCTATTCTTGGTACTACATAATACAGGTAAAATTCACCCAAACATAAGCGTCAGAACTTTATCTATGACGCAAAAAATTATCTCGCAGTGTCAGGCGTCGGATTCTCAGGGCTGAACAAACCCGAAGCACACGAAATATATTTATCGGTGAACGGAGTGTTCCTGATTTAATCCATTTGCCCACGCAGTTACCCACGCATAATGTACCTATACGCAGGTAAACAGTGAAAAGTTTATGTTGCGGACACCTAAGGGATTAGAGGCATTTGACTTCGTCAGGAGGTTTCTGTTGTCTAGAAGTTATTTGGCCTTGACTGCAGCTTAGAAACTTCGGGACAAAATCAATCGTTCATGTTTTGAGGTGTCCGAGGTATAGGGAAGGGAGGTTAATAAAGTGATTCGTTTCGTCTTAAATGCGCAGCTATTATTTCATTTCATGATATTTTTCGAAGAATACTGGGAAGAAAAAATGAACAAACTAATGCTTGTTAAATTATATAGAAAACGTTACTTGTCTTAGGAATCGTGTATCAGGGTGAATGTAGCCCTTTTATATTCGTGAATATAGTTTATTTTAATATTCAAAAAACTGTTAAGCTTTTCCTTATATGCTGAGGCAAAACCCGCATATATGAATATACATTTATAAGAACTTTAAGGCCACAAAGTGATATTTACATACGGTAAATCAGAAAAGAACGCTTAAAGATTTAAATAATGACGCACCAGAAAGCTTTAAAGAGCAATTAAAAAAGCATAAATTTAATAGGAACATCAACATTAACAAACTAAATGATACATATTGTACAATAGTATACCTAGACTCAGCATGTGAAGGAAGCATATGAAGATCCAAACATAAAAAGAGTATCGCTACGGTCCTGTAAAGCTTTGAACAAACTCAAGTGTACGGTTATCACTGGAACCGTGAAATATCAGATCAAATGATTTTGCAACAAACGAACCCCAAGAAAAATTCATGCGAGGGGCGACTCAGACTTCAACATTCCTTTGAATAAAGGAAGGAGAACTTAGGGTCGGATTCCCAGTCCTACCCAAGCCACCCTACCGCACTAGACCCTCTCATTTTCGAATACGAACTACATCAACTTGAAAAACTAGGAAAACGCTACAGTTTAGGGTAACTTAGTTTCAACCAACATTTTTTCGCTCTTGTTCGTCTCATTTTCAAAAGCTTTTGAATTTCGTCAACTGAAGCTTCCCCTAGTGAACAAGAAAAATTCTCATTTTTACATGTTGCTGTTGTGTTAGACACGGTTTGCATCGTTGGATGGGATTTTCTTGCATAAGGGCCCTGTTTCAGTGTTTTTCCTTCCCCAGATGTCTCCGTTACGCCACTGGCTATACAACCATTAAAAGCAACCCTCCTGCCAAATAATAGATTAAATTTTCCTGGATTTATCACTTAACTACTTAATACATAACGCTGTACGGCACAACACTATCTTCAATCCCTGGTAATCTCCTTTGCAGATTGCATGGCAAAATCTCATGATAAAGCATAAGGATAATCCAGCATTGGTGATAGAATTTGCCACTAAGAGCTCTTTGCTAATAAATAACATGATATAGAACCAAAGGAGGCGAAGAACCACTAAATAGCCTGCAACCTATCACCAAGCAACAATTCGCTCATATCCACACCCGCATTATGATTTTGCAGCAAACATACTTTAAAAGTGTGCAGGAAAAGCCAAGAATTTGCACGTTCCATTCAATTTGTTTATCGTTACTTAGCATCAAAAATTCACATAACCTTGGAGATCTCTCACGATAAGATCTCCCACATCGGTTCAGGTACTTTTCTCGGCAATGTACTTAAAAGCTGAGGATGATCACATAACAGGTTTGCTGAAAGCAAACTTCATTGAAAGCGATTTCACAATACTTCCAAGGCATTTTAGTGCTAAAAACAGGTTGACAAAGTTCAGAAAAAGCCTTCATCAAAATTTTCCTTTACCTCTTCAATAAAAGTTTCTTTAGAAATGGAATTTCAGTAAAATCATATATGGTATAGTTTTCACGCTTTTTCAGAAGAAAAAAATTAAACCACTACGGCAAATTCCTCTATCTTTATATATTCCTGTCAAGATATGCATTGGTCTTCCTAAAAAATACTGCATAGTTAGCTCTTCCTGCTGACAGAACCCGAACAGTAGTGTTTTCTGGATTGTGTTGTTAGGAAAACCCAAATAAAAACATTGCTATTCCTTGGCATTAACCTAATTAAAATTAAGCGAGCCACCAACACAACAGCTTCAAACCGAGGGGCAATTCACTCCAAGAAAATCTCTTACACTTTTTGTTTTATCTAAAAATTGCTGGAGATCCTTTTGTTGTGGTGGGAATCTCGTACACTATTCGCTACATATGATAGATGGCGATGGAAATAATTAGATAATTTGCTAGCTGAAATCAAAATACAAATGCCTTATAACTTGAAATTTTTTTATTTCGAATAAAAGGATGTGTCCCTATCTCTGCCTAAACGAGATAATTTAATTCGAATAAGTTTATCTTTCCTTTCAAAACATTTGACTGAAGTTGGTTAACGGACATTTACAAAAAGATACTCTGCCATTCCAATCCTATAAGGGCTTGTGCTGTAATAGGAAGCATATTCAGATTCTTCTTTCTTTAAAATTGATAATATTTTCTATCATTTGTGAAGTCTGGCAAAGAAGAATTTTTATCACTTTGTGTAAAATTGGTACTTATACACGTTGAAAATGATTCACCAGTGATACAATGTGGGTGTCTGGCGACCTCTTCACAAAACGTTCATGCCAACAGACAGCAAACAAGTGAAGATGACTTGTGCAGTTTCAGCTTATCGAGTGAAATAAATTGCCTTAGGGATAATCTAATTTAAAATAATAAGGTAAGCTGAAAATTCTTCATCGGCCTGCGAAAATCAAACCAAATAACTAAGAGTGAGTGGGGTCAAGTGAAAAAGACGTGAATCGCAAAGATGGTCCGCGTACTATCTCTCACAAACTTTTGTGTCTAAAAAGGAAAAAATACTCTTGCTGTCTTTACCATTGATTACCTAACTTTCTGTGAAATTTCCATTTCAATCAGGTAACGTGTAGTTACCACCATGGATGTTTTGACAGCTGCATCGAGACGGCACAAAGTAAAGAAATACCAAGCATTAGTAATTCCTAGACATTCTTGTCCCTTGCAGTAAATCTATACAAAATCATTGTTACGTGAATACTATGAAAATATGATATTAAATCATAGCAGCTATTATTGCGCAATAAAGCGGTTGTACCAAACTATTTCAACAGAGAATCGTTTGCATTAAATTAAGAAGTTCTATTCATTTTTCAATGAAACATCCATATGTATGAACTGGTTTTTCCGACCAACTGACGTCAAATGATTTCCTTTTACAATAACATATTGCTTTGTAGCAGAGCTAAAAGTTAGAAAGAATTTTGACAGAGTTATACACGTTAACGAAGGAAAGAACAACTATTGCAAGTTTCCAACTGTGGGGAGGGGCAATTGCACTCATTGTCATACGTCAGTTTCAGTTAGATATTTTACATTTGCAGTCTGTAGCCTGCAATGTATCATATTTTTTGTTTCAAGGGAGAAAATAATAAGATTTTAAAGGTTAAATAAATTTAGGTATTGTATACCAATTTCATGCTTTTCGCATTCTAGATTTGCTATTAGGCATGAAAGGATAGGAACAATCTTTACAAAATTGGTAAAGCATCGCAAAGAAACAAGAAAAAAAGAAAATTGGAGCAATACTAGACGCCGCTTAGTGACTTTTAAGTACGGTGTACTTCTAATAACCCAACACCAAACTGTATTTATTTTTTAAGATTCGAAAAATTATCAGGAAGTAAAATCTAGTACACAATAGCTACCCACGATGGGGCCTGTATTGAATCAATCTGGTGAAATTAATCAGCTAATTATCA